GGAATGTGCGCTATCATTCACACACTTGATACAAAGTCAATTGGCGGAGCCATTGTCGAGAACGACGACGATCGCTAGGGTAAGTCGTGTTTCAATATCTCTCCCTCCAGAATACTTTTCTAACTCATTCAGTTTCCGTGCGATTTGCGTCGTGTTGAGATCGAGTGTATCGCATTTATGACCGCTTCCATCCCCAGCACTTGCCTCGTCGGAGGTAACCTGTTCGTTTTCGATAACGACGGACTTGAAGTCGGGCCTTATCCATGGTGCGCCAGTCTTCCAATAGCTTCACTTCTGGGCAGTACGGTATCACCAAGGGCGATACAACACGTGGTCATTGTTGTTCTCGTTCTAGAACATGATCAAGACCATCTAGCAACCGGGCCGTCCAAGTGCGTGCTGCAGCGGTTCTCCAGTGCACTGTGTCGCCAATGGCGATGCTACGCCTGGAAGTAGTGTTCACGGTCTTCTAGCTTCAAGATTGCAGGCTGAATGCTGGCTATTTAGGAGGGCCACCTTATATGTGCCTCGTGCCCTGTGTCGTGTCACCATAGGCGATGCTCTAACCCAGTAGTTGCTCACGTTACGAAACCCGCTATCTGAGCTTTGTGCCACACAGACCCGCCAGAAGTGATGCTGGCCGTTGTAGTGCATCGCAGGTCAAGAGTATCCAAGCACTCAGCGAAAAGCTGTATGTCCGGGTGGTACGACGCTGCGCCCGTGGCGGCGGATCGCCAAAGGCGACATGCATCCTTAAGCTCTGGGCACAGTCAGTACCACAGCCTGAAGGGATCCTTCCTAGTGAATACTTTCGCGATTGCTCATTTTACGCCCGATCTTGGATGTTGTGGGCTCAAAATGACGACGGAACGTGCTCAGTCAGCACCTGTCAAGATCTTAACAACAACGGTTCACAGAATCTTCCTAACGAGGACAACCACGTCGGTGAGTTTTCGCTTCCAATAGTCCATCTACAAAAATATGTTCGCGTTCGCTCAGTATCGGTTCGATTTCTTACGTTATGGGCTCCAAATGACGGGACAGGTCAGGCACATCGACTCCAATAAAGGTTTGATAGACAAAGGCTCACCTATCGTCGAGGACAAGGACGATCAGATAGGTATGTTTTCGTCCCCCCATATATGCCTCTCGAAAGTCTGTTCGCATTTGGTCAATTCTTCCTCGATATTCAATGTAGTGGGCTCAAAATGATGACAGAGAGTACTGCTATCAGCTCCGAAAACGATTTGGCAACCAAACGCCCGCTCATCCTCGAGAACGAGGCGAAATATATTGGTGACTTTTCGCTGCTATCACCCCTTCTCAAAAATGTGTTCGCATTTGCTCAGTTGACGTTCTATTTTAAATACAGTGTGCTCAAAATGAAGGCGCGAGGTAGGTGAACCAACCCTGTCAAAGTTAGAAAAGAAATGGCCCACTCAACGGTGAGAACGAAGTGAACGATGCGGGTGAGTTTTCACACATACCACCCTCTTCCGAAAATGAACTCGTGTTTGCTCAAATATGCTTCGATGCTCAAGGTTGCGGGCTCGAAATAACGGCATGGATACTTACTCTCATCCCCAATCAAGATTTGAAGAGAACGTCCCGTGCATTATCTAGAACTAGTACGAACGGTGAGGTCAGTTTTATTCTCAATACCCTCCTCCTCGAAACTTGGTTCGTGCTCGCTCATTTGGAATTCGTTCCTGAAGGTTAATGGCTTGAAATGACAGTAAATAAATGGGCTATTTATCCCCCTTCGCGATCCCACGCAGGACCACTGTAAATCGACATCATTGATACGAATCTCTGAGGTGGGCCATGGTCTGAAAATGCTCCTCTTCGAATTTATGTTCGCGTTTGCTCATTTGTGCTTCGATACGGCTTTATGATGTCTCAAACGGACGGGAACGGTTATTTACGCCTGCAGCATACAAGGTTTGATGTGAATCGACCAGGTAATGAGGGAGATAGAGCGATTTTGGTTCGGTAAGTTTCGTCCCTCAACCCTTCTTCAAATATTTGCTCACATTCGCTCAATACCGACTCAATTTTCATTGTCGTTGGCTCTATCTGACGAGATGCATTCGTACCACTCAGCGCCATCCAGGTTTGACGCAAATCGGCAGGAAAATGGTCGAGAACGAAGCGTTTTACCTCGGTGTGTCATCCACACCAGCCCTCCCTCCTCTAATATCATCCCGTGTTTGCTCAGTTCTCGCTCAATCGTCGTCGTCCAGGGCTCAATGGAATGGATGTAGTACGAATGGTCTATCGCATTGAAGGTTTGGGGCGAAACCATGGTGCATTCACCAAGTTAGGCGACATTGTAGCCAGTAAGTTACCCCTCAGCTATTCCCCTCGCAGAAAGTCACTCATAGCTTCTTTAATATCGGTTCGAATCTTGACATTGCGGGCTCAAAATGACGGGAGTAATGTGTGCTATCAGTCACCCACTTGATACAAAGCCAGTTGGTGGAGTCATCGTCGAGAACGACGACGATCGTTGGGGTAATTCATGTTTCAATATCTCTCCCTCCAGAATACTTTTCTAACTCATTCAGTTTTCGTTCGATTTGCGTCATGGTGGGATCGAATGGATTGCATTCATGTCCGCTTCTGTCCCCAGCACTTGCATTGTCAGAGATAACCCGTTTGTTGTCAATAACGACGGACTTGAATTCGGGCCTTATCCATGGTGCGCCCGTCTTCCAATAGCCTAAACTTCTGGGCAGTACAGTATCGCCTTTGGCGATACAGCCCATGATCGTGGTTGTTTTAGTCATAGAACATCATTAAGGCCGCCTAGCAGCCCAGCCATCCAAGTGCGTGCTTCAGCAGCTTTCCTGTGCACTGCATCGCCAATGGCGATACTACTCTGAAAGTAGTGTTTGCGGTCGTGGAGTTTGATGATCGAAGGCTAGACGCTGAGCCTTTGAAGGACTGTCTTATATATTCCTTGTGCGCTGCGTCGTGTCGCCATAGGCGATCATCATTCGCAGTAGTTGGTCAGGGTGCAAAACCCGCTATCCGGTCTTTTATGCCTCACAAACTCGCCAGAAGCCGTGTGATGCTGGCCGTGGTAGTGCATCGCAGGTCAAGCGGTCTTAAGACACTCAGCAACAAGCTGTATGGCCGGGTGGTACGACACAGTGCCCCGCGGCGGCGCTTCGCCAAAGGCGACACAGTCAGCATCACAACACCACTTCCAGCTCAGTGCGCATCGCTGACCTGAAGTGCGGATATATACTAGGCAAGCGGCGGTGCCGTGTGATATGGCTATAGGCTATGCACACACACATAGCTGGCCAGAAGGCTGCAGGGCTGCATTGTGTCGCCACAGGCGATACACTCGCACACAGGTGCTGTAGTATCGCCTATGGCGATACGACACAGTGTGACAGGTCTCCTAGCAGCTGTGCAGCGGCATATCGCCTATGGCGACACTAGACAGTGCGACAGCCTACATGCGACCCATGTGGTATTGCCACAGACAATATCTCAGTGCATAGTGGCCAGGAAGGACTCTGTAGCGCTGTGCCGTGTTGTGGCCTGTCGCCACAGGCAATACGCTGGTGCACAGCTCGCGGGAAGGCTGCGATGCCATGTCATATTGCCACAGGCGACACAGCGCACAGCTGGCGGGAAACCTGCCATGCCGTGCAACCGTCCACTTGCCGTCGAGAATAACGATCTCAACTTGGTGAGTACCCCTCACCTATTGTAAATCACTCGTTCCCCGTCAAATGATCATGTGTTTGCGAGGTAGCGGGCTCGGTTGACGAGCACAGACGTCTCACATATGCCCTTTTACTTGGTTCCATGGGAAATGGTCCACTCGCTGGCGAGAACGACGATCTGAGCCTGGTGAGTACGCCCCGCCCGCCATGAACTTGGTCGTTCTCAGTCAAATGCTCATGTGTTTGCGAGGTAACGGACTCGATCGATGCATACACGCACCGTACATTTGATATGATACTTGGTTTGACGTGAAACAGTCCATTCGCCATTGAGAACGATGACCTGAACCTAGTGAGTAACCCCCACAGACTGTAAAATCACTCGTTCCCAGTCGAACGACCATGCTTTCTCGAAGTAGCGAGCTCTTCGATGTACGTCAATGTCCTCCATTACCTCCTGTATTTTATTTCATGAGCATTGACCCATTTGTAGTGGAGAAAGACTGGTTTGGCCCGGTGACATCACGCTAACGTGAGCGATCCCTTCTGCTCAGAGCGCACAGCTGTCCTGACGTGTGGATATATGTACAAGTGGTGCCCTGTGATGTCGCCACAGGCGATACACTGGTGCACGGGTACTGCAGCCTATAGCTTCCTGGCAGCTGTGTGCTGTAGCAGCGGCGATACGACACAGCGTGGCAGGTTTCCCGGCCATTGTGCAGTGATGTATTGCCAATGGCAACACTACATAGTGTCGCAGCCTTCCAGCGACCCGTGTGGTATTACCATAGACGATACCCCAGCGCACAGTTGCCAGGAAGGCTGTAGCGCCGTGCCGTGTCGCCACAGGCAATACACTGGTGGGTGCACAGATGGCGGGAAGGCCACAACACCATGTCATTTCACCACAGGCGATATAGTGTATGGTTAGTGAGAAGGTTGTTATGTCGTGTCATGTTGTGTTGCCACAGGCGATACGTTGACGCGGCTCACCTCCAGCACCATTCTCGCTCACCCCCGTGCCCTCTGCTCACCTTACTGCTATTTGTAACCCTAAGGTAGGGTTGGACCTAGAAAACCTAGGGAACAGTGTTTTCTTCTCATAACATCCCCTCCACCATCAATACCGCCATCGTCGTCGCTCCTTGTATCCTCCTCCTGGTTTCCAGCACCATCTACATCGTCAAGATCCTTGTCAATCGGATCCTCGTCTTCCTCGTCTTCGTCCGTATCATCCATCGGCTCATCTTCAGTGACGCTCTCACTGCACAAGAAATCGTATCAGCCAGCAAATATGATTCAATATGTTTCGTGCGCTTACTGTAAAGTAGCGCGTGCACTGTGCGCCTCAGAAATCAGCAGGGGAGGTGCGGCCGATTTCTTTCCCTTCTTCACTGTCTTCTTCGCGTCACGTTCGTCCCATACATCCTTGAGCTGCATCTCCTCGAACTCTGTGAGTGTCCATAGTGCCACAAACTGGGGGACTTCGAGGCTGGCGGGATGATTCTTCTTGAAGTGTGCTCGTAGGTTGTAGCGCCACACCGCGGGGCTTCCTTCTCCGCATATTTCGCATATGAGAGGGACATTCGAGCATGGAGAGGAAAGCTTTGACGTCGATGCCACAGCATGTGGGAACATAACGTAGTTCGGACATGTGTTTCCCTTCTCGATGACCGCAAAGTTTCCCTTCCGCCCCTTCGTCTTCCGAAGGTGATACCGGCATATAACTGCTGGACGAAGGCAGAGGCGACACGGCTCGAGTGACTGATCGAGCATATCATCCTGAAGTAGATGGCTGGAGACATTTCCGATGATTTCTTGGGGCAGTGCCATGTCGAACACGTATGAGCACCGTGAACAAGTGTGGGGAATCAAGTCCTGCACGCCTGTACTCTCCTCAGCGAGGAAACACGCCGTTCCTACAAGCCCTTCTCAGTACATCAATCCGATGAGACGAAATGAGAGAGATACTAACCTGATGCCTCTCTGTACGGGAACTCCAAACTCGCCTTTGCTTTTGGTATCAGTCGGACATGAGCACGGGCGAGTCGGTCTCGAAGGGTGGAGGTGAGCGTGCGAAGTGAATTGCTATCCAATAGAAGACGCGGAGAGCCCGTGTCAGACACCGATATGAATGGGTTCATGGGATAAATTAGGAGCCCAGGGACTCCTACAAATCTGTAGGCTGGTAGTTGTCGAGCAGAGCGCCAGTCGTTCCTCTCGGTATGATCTCTTGTGGATGTGGGTAGGAGATGGAGGACCTGAAACGAGTCTCGAGCGGTCATTTCGGGAAGTAGGTGTATCGCGACTCGTTCCCAGGACTGGGTGTCTACCGTTAAACCATTGACTGCACCGATGCAGAGGGACACTTTCTGCTCCCAGACCAGTAGTGACGCAACGGGATCGAATATGGACAGAAAAGGCTCGTCGGGTTGCTCTTCCTCATTCGCGAGCGCTGAGGACGGTTCATACCGTCCCGTCTGGGCAACTCGCCGGAGTCGATCTGCTGAGCTCGTTGTCTTCTGGTACAAGAATCGTTGAGCCAATGCACGAGCTTTATTCACAGGCTTTCCGTCGATCTCGATCACCTTTGAGAAAGCCCGTGCCAGTGGGGCATTGTTCCACTCTGCGTCTATCTCTGCGTCCTCCAGATCTCGCAGCCCACCTAGAGCACTATCCTCCGGGGGTGTCAGATTGGTGGCAGAAGACGCGCAGAATTCAGCTCCATCGTCGTCTTCACAATCATCGTCTGCGAGGGGAATCTTGAACAGCGGAACACTATACGGCGCAAGGATGGTGGCATCACAGTTGGTACGTAGACGGACCAATGCTGGTGCAATGAATGAGACCGTTCCTCGACCATCTGATGTCCGCGTTTCCAGGAAGTAACAAGGTTCACGAGTGCGACAAAGAGACAACCGCGCCATAAACAAGGGTTTATGTGATCCGCACTGGTGGGATTTGTTGAAGAGTCTTTTGATATGAATGGAAGCCTGGCGGAGGCATCGTGGTCCTTTATCCCATTCGGGATATTTCGTGAGAATGTTTGCGATCGTTGTAGTGCCGGTGAGGCGCAGACTCGCAGTGAAGCTGCAGTAAATCCAGGTTGGCGTCGTTGCCTACCATGGTGCGTAAGGCGATCCGTACTGAGGAGAATGAGGAAGAACTCGGAATCGGGGATGTCGACCTGCGCCTTGGCAACACAAAAGTACGCGTTCTTGATCATGTGCATGATGTCGAGGTATAGAGTGGTGGGCATCAGGGCATCAGCCCAATCTCCATCCCTGTGATCGGTGTCGTACAGGGCAAGATTGAGATACGCTGCGGCACTGAGGTGCTCCAGCTGTTACGAGAGAGAAAGATCAACACAGATGTAAGGGGCGACAAGGCCATAGCAAAGCTGCCCATAGGTTCGGATGGCCTCGCGGGTCTCAATGTACAGAGGGCGCATATCTGTAGACTCTGCGGGAGGAAGGGACCACAAATCTCGGAGAAGATTGTAGGCAAGACCAACGTCTTTCTCGTTATCAGGAGTGAATACCGAGTGGATGTGGCTTTCTGAGAGTCCGCATTTCACTTTCCGTTGTCACCCATTATACGGTCTCTTTTCTCCTTCTAGCTGCTATTTTGTTCGAACACATCCACCAGAGACACTAGCACGATCGCCTCGGTGCCTTAGCCGACGCCTCCAGGTTCACCGCCCCCATCTTGCATATCGCTAACATGCGAGCCGAATATCTTGTTAGAGATGCGTACGTCGGCCTGTTTTCGATGCCTCTCTCCTTCAATCAGACTCACAGGCTCCATCGAACAATCGTCCGTCATCGAGGGCACGATCACGATCGGCTATGAGCTAACACTAAACTATCTAACCATGTACGACGCCCAATTTCCCTTGACCACAATACAATGTAAATATATGTTCCTTAATATTTCCTAACCATCCGTACTCCTATAATGCGGCATAGCCTTCAAGCAGCAGAGAAGATCGTCTTCATGCCGTTCTATTTCTGTAAGCACACGGCGGTATTTGCTTCCACAACTCAGACTTACGGGGTTTAAGGACGGAAAGACGCTGGGGTCTGTGTGATGTCGATGTGGAGGTGGAGGTGGGACCTAATGGACCTGTCTTTCCCTACCCCCATACACAAATTCTAACCTTCCCGAACCACAGAAACCTCTCCTTGGAACAGTGGCATCACTGATGGTTACAGAACCTGATCATCATCACCTTCTTAGTGCTCCCACCCTATGCTTTCGCGATACTATAAACTCAACTCCAGATCTTGGCGCTCAGGGTGACAAGACGCTGAAGATCGGGCTCTGAGGGAGTCGAAGCGTGTCTCTTTGTCCGGGCAATATGTTCCGCTGCCTTTATTGTTTCGGCTCATTAGACCGTAACTGCAAGTGGAATTTTTGACCTCGCTTAGGCCCAACGGGACACGGCAATTGATCCGATCAACGTTGTGAAGCAGTTTCGAACAATTGCACTTCCTGGTTTTTTCCGTCACGATAGCCCATTATGGGTGTGAGTATCAAGGGAAAATCCTTCTCCATTAATCTACTTGTCGATCCCCACAGGTTGAAGCCGCTAGCCACTCGACAGTGAATTGCTTGGCCATTGATTGGGTAGTCGTTGTTCTGGGCGCGATTTACTCAATTGATCGTGTATCATAGTTACCGTGTGGTCGTGAGACCCGATTATCCAGGCTTCAAGACATTCGCAAGAGGAACGGCCCAGTATGATGTGTCCTTGCTTTCGAAGTAACCTGTCATTTATTCTCTGACAAGAGGACGCACCTTGCTTATGGTTCCCGTCCGGTTTTCTCATTTAAATTATTCTCCTTAGTATCTCTCTGAGAGACGGCCATATCCATCTCTTTTCGCTTGCGCGATGCCTGTTACTGGCCACTGATACATGTCTATCTCATGATTGATTATGCCCGTTGACAGCGAGGATTCGTGACTGGAGGATGCTGATGTACTATGGAGCGCGCCTTCTTCGCGCACATTTGACTCACAATAGTATTACTCGGGGGTTTTTTTTTGGTGTTCATCTCTCTCGTCTAGCTTATGTCCACGTAGCTCGAAAGCGCCGTCACCGATATTGTTACAGGCGCGTCGAGCTTTCCGACAATATTTTCAGCGCTCTCTCTTCGTGATCCGAAATGGCTATACCTGCATATCAACTGGCTTGAAGGTATCATGTTCCACTGATTTATGTTCGTCGCTAGACTATCATATGGTTTTTTGGGCTGCTGCCTCACAATATACCTTGGCTAAAGTCATATTCCCACCTACCTTGCTGACGCTGAATGGCCGTGTTCAGCTACGCCTAGAATAGGCTTGGGCTCAAGTTAGGTGCAGATATGTCTCTCACGCATCGACTGCATGGCCTGACTGACGATTAGTAGAGTACATGAGAACACTTAATGCTGAGCGAGCTATTGTGTAGTATGTCTCAGTGCAGCACTAATTGCAATGTAAGTACTCTCGAAAAGGCGTATGCTAGTATCCTATTCTTTTTGCACACCCACGTGTATACTTACTCCATCCATTGGTGTCTCTGTTGTGAATATAACACGGAGCTATGAAAAGAACTATCTAAGCTGTACAGAGCCAATTAAATCCGTGCATCATATTTCCACCTCCCCCTGCATCCGTCTCATCCAAGACTCAACTTTTCGAACACTCTTCTCAATTTCCTCCCGATGCGCCGCGCTGATGTGCTCAGGCGGATCGTCTTTCTCTAAGGGATAAAGTGTACTTCCTTCCCCATATGCGCTACCTTCACCGCTATCCCCCTTGCTTCTCACCACGACGACATCAATGCCATCCTCTCCACTTTCTGAGGCAGTACGTAGTGGCGGCAAGTGTTTGTCTTCGATCAAGTCTATGTTCTCGACGATTTTGTCGGGCCACATGGTCTTCTCCCATGCGTTTGCCATTACAACAGCATGTCGCTTGAGCGTCAGGAGACACATTACGGCCCTCAAGTTGGCTAGATATGGGGACTCAAAAGTACTGGGGATGGTAGCTTGAATATCTGTAGCGTTCATTATGCCGGGTATGGATATACGGTCGATGACGCATGAGACATAGTGGGTCGTATTGTTATCCAGATCAATGAGGTCCTCGCCTGCGGGTGCATGAGGGATATGGGCAACAATTGTCAGGTGACCATCTCGGCCGCTGTCGTATACAATTCCAAACATGATCATCCATGGAGGACAGGACTTTTGCTCCAGAGGTGAAGGTGAGAATGAGATGTAGTGGTTACAATCGTCGACCGGGAAATCCTGATGTTCGTCATCGAGGTACTCGTACTGCTCATCATCGAGGGACTCGTATTGCTCATCACCGAGATTTACGGATGCGGGCTTCGGCCAAGGACGACGCCAGTTCTCAAGGTGAGCGTTTAGATGAGATCGAACGGTGAGGGCAAGGTCATGAAGCGGGTTCTGGTGACGATTAACGTTCCCATGCCCCTTCCCGTCAATCCCAATGATGAGAGCCGGGTGGAGGATGTCTGTTTGAAACCACGGACGTGATCGGGATCGTGCCATTCGATTCAGGAAAAGTGCGAAGCCAGGAACCAGCTGTTGCTGTGAGGCGTCTAGCGCAGTAATCTCAGAATCGAAGCCTGGATCAAGGTTCGGAAGTCTGATACGGTGTTTGAGTCAGATTATTCTCGACGAAACTATAGGAGAACACAAACCGCCTGAGTATCATTCCGGGAGTGGCCGCTAACATGCCCGTGATGGAGGCTTCGATATCCGTGCGATCACCAGAGTAAGTGATCATCTGTAGGACTGAAGGTAGGGACCGCAATGGATCGGCAGCGAGAGTGGCCTCTGGGGTATTCTTGTTGCTGCCATATGACAGAGATCGAGGAGCATGGAGGAAAAAATCGGGACCATTAAAGGACGGGTTCCCAATTTGAGACAGTATGGCCTGAGATAAAGTTGGCTTCATATGATTTTGTAGGTGCTGGTATATTTCCCCGAATTCCGAACGGCGTATAAGGTTGTATCGATACACGTAATCGTTTTTAAGATATGGCTCATCGGATTCAAGTTGTGGCTGGGTTGATATTCGGCGAAGTCAGCTTCTGAGAGATACAGAAGGAAAAAGACAGTATCCATACGGGTAACCATTCAATCGGTATAGACCATGGCCCGTGATTCGACCCCCAATGTAGCCTCAGACTGTCGATGTACGATATCTGGTCTCGACATCGTGAAGCTATCGGTGATGAGCTGAGGCTGTTGAGATCAGGGAAAATAGTCCATCCCAAAGGGAAGTCATATCCCGTCGACGTCCTAGATGAGCCAGGGGTGAGATAATACAGGAGGATAGAGATAACTTCACGTACATGACGTTCAGTTGCAGCTCTCACTCGTTAAAATCGTATCGTGCGGTGCCAGGTCTTGACCAGGTCGTTTCCGAGTCAGACAGAGTACCGGATGTTGCCGGTCGGCCAGTGAAAAGATAAGCGTTCTCCGTCTCGAAACTCTGAACAATATCTGACGCCAGCTAATTCTGAAACGGGCTGTTGTGAGTCTGTTTCAAGTGGCTACCGGCTTCATGATCCTGACAGTCCGGTCTAGTTACTGTGCACATTGAGACAGCCGACACGCTCCGCGATATCCGTCTTACACGTGTCACGAATCAAGACCCGTTCAATCCACAGGTCTCTCTCTTGCTGCGTAGTACTATTGTGTCGGATAGGTCTGTCACTATAAAGCCACGAACAATTGGCAACCATAGACATTGACACTTATTTCGCAGGGCCTCACAAGATCTCACTGATCTTCGTCGCCACCATCTGTTGTGTTCACATGGTCATCTCACAAACCCGGCCTCCCTCGCAAATGCGAAAACACGAACAAAATGCTGTGTGAGTCCTTTGTTGATAATTCAATTACAAGTACGCTCTCATATCGATACCTTGGGCTGGTAAGTGCACTTGTCAACGGCCCGTGCAAATGGATATTCTTGACACATACCAGTGGAAGAGTCGATCTGCCTGTCTGCGACAGTATCGCCGAGATACTGGAGCACCTTGACGTCATTGAATATCATACAGCAATCATGAAGCCTCTGAAACTTCCGGCTGATTGGAAGGCAAGTCCTCCTGAAGTTATGTACTTTCGCGATACTTACCATGACTTTATCAGTTGTCCTCTCGTCAGCCGTTCCCACTCCTTCGCGGGTATCTAGCATACCTTGAGCATCCCTGCTTAAATGGGAAACCTTACATCCAATACGTTGAGAGGTCCGAACTTGAAAAAGAATCGTATCCTTTCCCAAATGTCACACTTCATGAATTGCGAGATCACCCACATGGAATACATAGTGTTGAGTGGACTCTTTACAAGATATTATCGAGAGGGGGTGGAAATGGGGGAATCGATCCATTGGAGGCGGATGGGTCATGGACATTTGACTCTATTCTTCTCGACATGTGTCATCAGATCGAAACCTGTGACATTGAGATGTTAGTATCATCCGTAACGACTCCTTTCTATCTAATCGAGAATTTTCACACTAATCCGTGTAATTCTTTCGTCATAGTGCAGCAAGGGTTGACACTTGCAGCAGATCCGGTCCTTCCTTGCCCGCTTCTGCAGACTTTATCTGTCGACTTCGAGCCAATGGGGTAGCGCCTTCACTTGGAGCGAAAGTAGACTCTATGCCGATACTATTTGCGGCCACGCGTGTGGAAGAACTCCCGGAGTTTCCTTGCATCACAACTAGCGCCATCGAGTCCATCGATCCTGCCACATTTTCGCGCGGACACCAGCCTCTACTGGATATTGCAGTTTTATTCCAGTCAACACTGAACATATTTATCAAGTCAATGAAGGATTCTGATGATGTACGTTTCAGTCTCCCACCGTCGTCAGGATGACGCTGATATACTTGAATCCCGTTAATCAGTCAACACTCTCGCCAACTCCTCCCTTGTTTCTTGTATTCGGCTTACTATACAATGGACAAGGCTGCACGTGTTATGGCTTTTTCCCTGGATACAGTTGGACCTCCTCAGATTTGTGTCAATGGCACTTGTGCTGCTGCGAAGTTTGGAGAGATCACTCTGTATTCAAAGAGTGGACTGAGGACAGCCGTGTCAGACTTGTACTTCAATTGCTTATCATACAACGGCACATTCTGGAAGTCTCAAAAACCATGAGAAACCTGGTGGGCTCTCTGTAATATAAATATTATTTGCATATGTTGTCGTGTTGTTAGAGTCAGATATATGGATCGCTAATCCAACAAGTCTGTGAAGTAAATTTAGCAATAGAACCACGATGAAGACCTCTATATCGATAGCCTCTGTGATGATCATTACAGCTCTGGCCTCAGTATACTAAGTACCTTGCCGTAGGACAACAAAATTATTCAATCTAGATTGGAGCCGGAACGTCTACCGGACTGAAATATCGAGGCCGCCTATTGATTAGTCAGTAACATCGGACTGAAAACCGATGCACGTTCAAGCATATACAAGTTTCACTCCGATTACACTCTTTCGATTCTTCCATCTGTTTGATATATCAAATTGACATCTTAGTAGACAGTGACAGATTAAACCAAGAGGCGTGCGGTCGAGAAATCCCGGACATCTGAAGGTCGTCGCCTAACTCTCGCTTAGAGGGGGGGAGGGTACGGCATGCATCCGGGGTCCTTCAAGAAACAACAATTTCATAATATGCCGTTGGTTCAGACAAGCGGTGGCGAAAGAAGGAAAGTAGGGTAGCACGATGTGGCCCCGTAGTATAGGATTGTACACAACGAGTGAATCCGACTACTTATGGTAGGTTATGGGAGATACACGAAGAACCGTCATAAGTACAAAGCTTCGTAAAATGTCCAGTCCGTTTTTATGTGTAAGTACATTCAGTAATGGCGAGCCTGCTTGCTTGCGGGAACATCGGTTGTAGTAGCCGTAAAGGCTCGTGAACGCTTGCCGCCAGAAGGAGTGGAGGTAAGTATAGGAGAGCGTGGTGTTTCGCGGATATGGTCAAAATGAAGGGGAACGAGTGATATGTCAATACCACAGAAATTCGAACTGAAAGTCGTGGACTTCATCGATGAATACATAAAATCAGCAATCACATTGGTAACTTGTGTACCTGGTAGTAACAATTAGCGTTCCGGCAGACAATAGTCTTCTTTACTCATGATGATTAGTTGTTCATTGAGAAAACAGAGCGAATGTGGAGAAACAAAACGCCACACGTCGAGGCGTTCGCACTTTTCGAACTCCGCCACGTCGTCCCGCGCGGACTTTATGATCAAACGGTGAAGGATTACATGTCCGAATCAACGTCGCTCTTGCTATTACGATGCACGCTATTGTTCTGCTTGGTCGTAAGCATTTGTATCCGCAGGTCTATGTATCTTGGCGCCATGTATGACTCTCTCTTACTATCTTGATTCATGCACAACAATAAGCTTGGGTGAACGAGCTGCAGGCTGTTGTCTTGCCGTGCGGTGACTCTCTATATCCTCGAAAATCTCGGACTAGGCTCTCTGTTGATATATAATCTATGTGGTGAATATACTTGTCTTTCACCTGTGCTCCCTTCATCGCCCTCACATCGCCCTCACATCGCCCTCACGTTGGCACCCTCACGTCGCCCACAACTAAATTCGGATGGCAACTTTACCGGTTATCCTTTCACCCTTTTCTCAGCCTCGGATGTCCGACAGCCAGCCTGTGATTCATCTGAGTTCTGTTGCTCTACTGCATGCACCCCATACTTATTTCTAGTGAGCACATCATATCACAAACTCGTATTTTGCATCCTATAGCGCTATCTCACAATTGACATCATAGATGACAGACACGCTCGTCTGTGCATCACATCATTTGCAGCTGATGGCAACATACTACGTCAACGATCGAGCATTCCATATTCCACTGAGAAGGAAGAGCATGATTATAGGAAAGGTATGTTGATTGGTTTTTGGTTGACATACACGTACTATAACTGACTTGGCATGCAATACAGCGGTGATGGCGAAGATCGTTCTGAGTGAACGCTTGCTCAAATGTATCGTTTGTGCTCACTTCGACAAACCTCAAGTCTCTCATATGCTCGCCCGACTCCGCACAATCAGGGCCTGTCAATATGTTGTCCTTGACCTTGATCTCGCCACAGCATGGGAAACAGGAAGCTGCAACACTGATAGGACTATCTCCATGCCTGTGGCATCCTGGATTCAACTGTCAATGATCCCCGTGTGATTCCTCCTGAAGACTATGAAGCAACGGCCGAAGAGGTGAGGAGCAACAAACGTGTACCACACCCGGCGGCTTTGTGTATGGACGATGTGTCTATAGAGGATAAATTTGTGAGCCCGTTGTTATTATTCAAACCTCAATTTATCGTGGATATGCTGATCCTCCTACTCTTTGAGATCTTTCGTCACAGCTTCAGACAGGTGTACGTCCAGTGCCACGAGTACGGCGGACCGACCAGTGCCATTGTGGATGCGTGATCCATTGGAAGGAAAGAAGGAAGGTGCGGAGAATTCACAACTTTCCCATACATTCGGTGTTTTAAATCTACCCATGCCACTGAATTAATATAGGAATCTTACGGTGTACCTTTGGGCTCTATTCTGTCACCGTATCGAGCTGGAAAGGACACTGGCAGAGTTGACTGGGAGTTTCTCGTACAGGTCACTACTTCAAACTTCTACATGAATAATTTGGTACCCCTTTCTGCCTTTGTAATATGCCTACTTTTCTCTACTAAGTACACACAATCCTGTACTGTAAAAACTGATTCTCTTATTGCATCATTTCAGCCGTGATCACACCCGTTTCGTGAATATGTTTGGACTCGGGGAATGAGTGCCACAGTGCCACACATATTCTCCGCAGGGACCCCAGAGCACCGCTCCCATTGCCAATTCATTTCGGTGCTTCTTTGTCTTTTAGCCGAGCGCTGAGCAGTGTGCGGAATTCCTCGCCCGCGCACCTCTTGGATTAAACGACCATCAAAATTTCCGTTGCGTCGGCTTCTTCATCCGTTTGACGATCGGGGCTGGATCTGTACTCAAACTGTTCCGAAGTGGCCCTGCTTCCCGCTGGCGTTTCACTCTGTTGACTGCAGGTAGAGTTACGATTTTAAAAAAAATGTTATTGTTCCTGCACACAGTATCAAACATTGTGAGCGTTTATTATGGGTCAACCTATTGTATTATGAGGGTAAGCAGTCAGTGATGAATATTGATAGCACAGATGTGTGTATGTGTATATATACAGTCATTCTGAGGATAGAGCTGGTCACCAACACCATCCAATCGCATATTACTCGAAGCTCACTTCTATATATCTTCGCCTAAACATGTCCGTTTTCGATAACAAACCTGATACTGGAAGGCCTGGCGTCACTCCTGGGGGCCCCACCGATCTTTTTCAATGTCGGAACGCACACGCCGTATTTGTGGGGAAAATCCTGTATTATTATTATGGACCAAAGCCCGCGAGAGATACGATCATCTTCAGCGACGAAAGAGTACTATCCGCACCAAGTAAACGAGCTCCTACGGAGTTATCTGGAACTGCGAGGGCAATAACTGCAAGGTTCATCCTCCCTTCGCTTTGACCTCACGGTATATACTGCTAACCAAAGTCTGGATCATAGCAAAGCCAATATTGAAGCCCTCAAGAAGTTCGGTTGGGTATTTGAAACCAGTCAAACCAGTAGAATCACTACCGTCAAGATGTCCCGTTACAGTTTTAACAGGTGGCAGAAGACTCCATTCACTGTCCCGTCATGGAAAGTCAGTTCCTTTTACGATATTCTACTCTAAACTTTCACTGATAGATGATACAGAGCAAGGATGGGGCTATAGCTGAACTCGATAGTACCCTGGAGATTTATCAAAATGAATTCCCCGGGGCCATCTTACGTGGTCTCAGCGAGGATACCAAGCCTAATCCTGGCATGCCCATCCTGGATTACTCGTATCTGAATGAAGTTAACTACAAGAACCACAGCAATTATCTCGGCGCTATGAAACGTGTCATTTCCGCGTTTGCCTTGGCAAACCCAATGTCGGAGCTGGCGGTTCAACAAAGCTACGGAGCGATGATAAAAGGATTCTTTGAGGATGCTGGCCGATGTTCATATGGAGCGTACGTCGGATGTCATAATCTTGGTGGGACGCGCTCCTAATAGACGACTCGATCACCAGCGACAATGAACTAGATCAGCCTACTATCCTGGGATGTTTCGGTTCTCAGCCCAAAGCCGACTTACTCACTCGAATGGTGTTGGAGCATGAAGAAGGGCAGAAGTGGAAGCGTTGGTTCGACCCCGTGATTGCGGTAGGAGAAACCAAGCGCAAAGGAACCCCCAGTGTCCCTGCGCAGATGGCATGTTCACTTCAGCCTACTCTCCACGTCTTTATGGCATTGCTCGTAAAGCAATGGAAAGACAAACCGCAGAACACCAAGAAGTCCAAAGTTATTTGGGAGGAGATTGTACGTTAAATGATACCCCCTTGACAAACCTATAACTTATCACATCATTTACAGGAAATCCCAAATTGGATGTGGATTTGTGGCCTCGCCTTCGACGCAGACGGTGTAACCTTCCATGGATATCGGCCGGTCATCCGTGATAATGGCTATGAGTTCGTTTGCTGGAATATCTCGGAGAAAAAGTTCTCTACGATATTCAAGGAAATAAGAGACGTCCCTGATCCGAAACCGCATACCCGGGGTCAGATTGATCTCCTAAAGGCGTTGATTTGGATGTGGAGACATACATTAGATCTCGAAAAGGAGCTCAGAAACCTCAAGTTCGACCTACCCGAAGCATTCGAAGATCTTGGTAGAGCTTGGGACATGGACCCGAAGAACTTCAAGGAGGAAAGAGAGGCAGAGCATTTAGCGAAACGAAAGCCAAAGGAGAAGGCAGATACGGAAGCGGCGGCGGATGAGCTTACCGGGAAAATGGCGACTCTGACGGTCTCAGGGTCAGAATCCGGTGTAAGAGGGAAGAAGGAGTCCAAGGGAAAGTAAAGGATGGCGGCTTACTCTGGTCGAGTGAAACAGCATGCTTTAAACATTGTAAAAATAATATAAAGGAAATTCATCAGGTATACGATAGTGTATACAACAAAGAGGACGCAGAACCTTGGAGAGCCTCTGCCATGATTTCGGTCGGTGCTTACAGGGGAGCTCTTGTGAGATGTCGACACCATCAGTGCGACGATGAAGCACAGGAGGAGCACGGCCTATACTAGCACACCGCGGGGCTCAAGGTCCTTATTACGGGTATTCGCTAGAGAGCGGACCCTCTTATTGGCGTAATCCGATGAAGCACACGACCTGTCAAAATATTGAGGAGCCTGTGGTTTGTACGGGGTTAGAGTCGGATTTGAAAGTGAGTAGTACGACTGATTTTATGACCAGCAGGCAGAACTATTAATCAGAGGTAGATGCGTTTATTACTAGCTTTCGGGAAGTAGTCCAAGTCGAGAAGTATCGAAACAGCAGAAATTGTGCAGAAGAATATGTAACTGAGGCTTTCACCTACATAGTACAAGTGACCGAATGGCCAGCAAATGCTTATGACTGTGCATCAAGCGAAATGAGGAAGACGGATACGATGTTGCCTCAGTGAAAGGGCTGTAGTAGATGATAAGCGTAGCAGAAGCTTTTCCCTAATCATCAAGAAACGTAGTGATTGCAGAAGGTATAACACGCTGGTCAGCGGGATGCCGGACAGCTTTATTGTCGGCTCTTGGATAAAATAGCAGCAGGCAGTTCAGCGCAAATTATTACGAACTGTCGATCGTCAGAGTTCATAGAAGGCAAAGCTCGACGGAAGAAGGCGGTGAGATGAAACATGCTTCGATATCTGGATACAAACAGTCCTAAGCGCCGAGCGAAGAGAGTAAAGAGAATTCGAGTCCGCGTTAGGACAGAGTCACGACGATATCGGCAAGTTGAGAGCAGGAAGAGTTCACTGTCGTATAGAAGTGATCTTCACACAATGCAGCAGAAATAGACCCTCAAACTACTCTAGTGGACCCATATGACTGTACAACAAGAGGGGTAAGGAAGGCGGATACAATGTTTTCTCAGCGAAAATAGGCCTTGCACCATGACTGAACCACAGGACGTACCAGCTGAGGGGCATGATGCAACATGAGCAGATCGACATGCGTTGTACATCATGAAGACCCGTCTTCGATTTCATATAACGCTGCTCTCGACATTGTGGGTTCAGATCAGATAAATTCAACGAGAATAAGCGAAAATGCATGTGCATATGGGACGTAGAGTACGTACAATGTCTGACCCAGTTGTGCAAATTCTGCGGCTCTCATGGCACTAAGCCCCTTCAACACACCCGATCGCTGCAATGATGACCGAGGCAGATGAAAAAACATCTTAGCCATGTCCACCGATTTTACTGGCATTTTCCGCTAGTGACAATATTGTCGTCGACGTCGAGCGCGACGACGACTGCTTGCACCCCGTAAGACAAATTTGCACTTCTGGCGGGCCGGAAGCATTCCGACGCGCGTCGCGAGTCCGAAGTGCAAATTTTCGACATTATCGAGCATTTTGGTGGATCAGGCATGAAATTCATCAAACCGAAGTACCCAGAGACGATACTAGACAGTATATGCACCTTGTAGAATATTTTGAGGAAGAATGGAGGGGAACTCGAGGCGTGAAGTCGAATTTGCCCTACCGTAAGATTTGTATTACTGGGTCAGGCATAGTACCTGCAACGCGAACTACCAAGAAGTGACGATCAACCAAGTTCGATGGTGACGTCGTTCGACATTCCCAAGGGCTAGCAAGACCATGGAGCTACATGTAAGGAAAGGTATGTTGAATAAGCGGCGATGTTGAAGTGAAGTCGTATTCGATATCTGAATACAACGAGCCCTGAGCGCCGAGCAAAGAGTATGTATGACGACTGCGAATCCGAGTTCCCTTCAGGAAGAGTGACGGAGATATCAACAAGCCGGAAGAGTTCATCGTCGTACCGGAGTCATCTGTGGACAAGAGCAGTGGTGCAGTTCTCGGGAACTCGAGGCCGTGGCCTCCTCTGAACGGGCCTCGGAGAGATTCGGAAGATCTGAGAAGAAGGGAGTCAAAGACAACCACCTTTTTACCCCGGCGCCCCGCCAAACGATCGAGGAGAATTGATGGGATCTGAGATCCAAAGAGCGGAGCGGCCCCGACCAAAGCCCCGCCAGCTTACGGGTTCTTTGTCGTCGACGTTCCCCAGCTTCCGCTTTCCAACGCAACTCTCAACTACGCTCGTTACCGGCACCCGTCGCTCTTTTCCCTTCTTTTTATTCTTCATCTATCGGAATTATTGGGCGTCGATACTATCAGCGACGGACGATTGAGCCCACCGCCGGCGAGTTGAAGCCGTCGACGAACTGAACAGACGCTCTCGTGATCGCTTGGCGGGTGCCCCATTCATCGTTCCGCCGCAACCTCAACTTTTGAACTCGGACCATCATCTCCTCCTCCTACTCCTCTCTCAGTTCCATCATCTTATCTTGCTCCTGTAGTACCATTTCACGATCGTCAAACTATACGCACCGACTTGAACGAACGGGGCGCGGCTGGGCGTAGCAACACACATGACATCTCTACGGTCGAGATACACCTCGGCGTCTTGGAAGGGAAAGCAGCGCGCGTCTCAGTCGGATTCTGACATCTATCCCGAGGAGAAGGAGCGGGGATACAGAGATGTGAGTAGTCGAGGTCGGGTGGGACGGAGAGATGGACTGAGTGGGGTAGAAGGAGACGGAGGACAAGACGGCATCGTTTTACCACTGGATATGGTCGGCGGAGGTTTCTACGAAGCGTGAGTCCCCTTTCCAGAATACCTTTTTCTTTTTTTTTCTTCTTGCTTCTGTTATTTCCGTTCCAATCTCTTCTTTCAGTCCTTTTCTATCGTGTCTGTGGGGTATGCCGAGGCTACCGACCTCTCTAGGTCTCTTCGCCACCTTCTGTTTTGTTCTAGTCAAACGAGCGACTGCAGGCGCTCCCATCTTGTGATCAACACCGTTATCTTGTCTGTCTCTCGTTCTCACATCGGCCTCCCTCCTTCATCTCGAAGCCGTAGTCCCCTACGCCCTTGACCCTCGAGCGTCTATCGGGCATGTGTATACATCCTGCAGCCTGAGCGTGCACTTTCGCTTATCTTCACCGCTTCGACAAGGACGGGCTATTCCACAACTCGTGAAGCTGTGTTATGGTTCTCCTACTCGAATATGGTCGTGTTCTCGCTTCGTCCTCGCGTCCTTCCTGAGCGCATCCGAACACGAGCAATAGTGTTCGGTCATTTCCTTCGACTTCGTAGACCTTCTTGTGCTACTTGTCTCACTTGGGATCAACACCCAGCCTTTGCACCTACCCATCTGGGTACGCGACCCCTTAGGCTCCTTCATCTGACTTTTCGCCGCGTTCCGTACGGTAATTGTGGGGCCGCATCTTCGTTCACTTTTTTTTAGTGTCCTCCGAATCCTGTCGGCTATCGAAACCATCAGCGCCCGTCGTTGCTTCCTGTCAGTTTTATTGATATGCCTGCCGCCACCCCTCTTTTTCCTCGTGCAGTATGAGAGGATATTTCAGTCTGCGCTCAGATTCCTGCGATGTGCGAGTCGTGCTTCAGAATGCGTACTCGATCGTACGAGACTCGAGTTTGTTCACCATCGAGCGTACACAGGTCCCTCCGAGGAGCAGAATTCGGGCAAGCATTTTGAATACCATTTCTGCGGGAATGGTGGATCGTTGTGTTACGCTCCGAATCTAGTACGATTGAGGTGAACCTCGCGCTTGCGCCCTGACACTGGAGTTGGTTCATTACGACCTCTGCTTGTTTGACTGGTGTACCGCTGCCTTTGCCAAATACCGTGGAGGAGGCGAAACTGCAGTTCATCATTCAATGCTGCCTGTTTGCCTTGAAGTATCGCGGTAGCTGTGGACAACCAAAGTGGATGGCTGGTTGGCTGACTTAAACTATCTATCGATACAGTCTGCTGCTTTCGCGCGAAGAGCCACTTCCATCCCATCCCTTTGAAGAGATCGAACTTCTCAATACGTCTTGCTCCGGTCTCTGAAGACAGATCCTCCCGATGTCACTCGCGAAGATGCCTACTGATTGGAGCGAGTATGTCTTGTTTGCTTGATCGAATTGTGGCGCAGACGGCTGGCGTTTGAAATGTGGCGCTCTGCTTTGAATACCAGCGCTCGGACATGTTTTGAGATCGCTTGTCCTCTCTACACTCTTCCTCACAGATTCACGCTCTCGATCCAGATAATTCGTAGCTTGCAAGTGAGGGAGGGTGCATGGTGCGATACGTCCTATCTAAATTTGACGACGCTAGGCCGTGTTTAGCTGTGGGCAAACCCGTTTCGATGCAGACGTTTCAATGTTAGACTCGTTCTGCGTTGGTTTTACGGGATTTTATTTGCTTCGTTATGCCTTTTTCTGCCAGCTACGAGTGGTGTCGGTCGTGTTCAGTACAGATGTGGCGCGTCGTCTCAGGCTGAGCTCATTGCACCATCATCCACGTCTAACGGGAGAACATCCATATTCGTGCTCAATCAGCAGTTGCGAAGAACGTGATAGTTCAGCAGCCTTTTGTCGAATCTGTGCCACAGTTCGCTCCTTTTCAACGGCGGTCATATTGCGATATGTACTTGGTCGTTTATGTTCGGAGGTTCGTTCGGAGGGCGTGCTGCTACTTGACTGCCTCGTTCGCTTGTGCCATCGATACCCCGGCATGACTTCACAATACGGGCGGCTGAACGGAATAATGTATACACTCTTGGCTCCCGGTTTATGTTCTTCGTTGTCGTGTTTACTTCATATTTCCGATGCTCTGATTTGAGTCTGTATCGATGTGCTCATTTCTTTTTCTCTTTCAGCGTATACACCGTCGCCATCAGCGTGGGCCTTAACAACCAGAATATGAGCGTACAAGTAGACATGGGCTCTTCTGATCTCGTACGTTCCTATTTCGATGAACTTCACTCGTCCCCACGCCATCTATCCGTTCATTTCATTTATTCTATCCACTCGCCCACCCAGCCTCTCAGCGTTGCAACCCTGTGCTGACGCATCGCTTTCTGGTGTTATATAGTGGTTGGCATCAAAACAATGTAGCACATCCGCGTGCTCGTCAACAGGTGGAAGACTATACGATCCTTCAACAGCAACGGCCACGAATGTCGACTTTAGTATCAGCTATCTGGCGGGAAGCGTTACTGGACCTATATATTGGGATCAGGTCACGCTTGGAGGGTATACCGTCTCAAATCAGGCGTTAGGTACGTCTTGATTTTCGTCACGAAGGGTAACCCTCCTCTGTCTCTAATTATCGTTTCTTATTCCTTCGTACGTGCAGCCGCCGCCACAACAGTCGATTCCGAACCCCTCGAATACGAATTCGACGGCATTTTAGGCCTCGCTCTCCCCCTCAACTCCGTTATCGCCCAACAACTCCCAGCAACGACGTCAGACGCTCCCGACGGCGCCGTCTTCGCATCGAATCTCTTCGGCCTCGCACCATCCACCTCCGCACCCTCCTCCCGCTTCATCTCACTCTCCCTCGCCCGTCCCGGATCGACTTCCCCTTCATCTTTCCTGGGCATCGGTCGACATCCAAGCGAAATCTTGGACGATCCGAGTAAGGTGACTTATAGCAGGGTGTTGGCCGAAAGCACTGGGGAGTTCTTTTGGAGACTTAATGTGAGGGGACTCACGGTCTACGTGGATGGGGATGCGAAGGAGATAGATTTGGGCAGGGGGAAGAGCGGAGGCGTGTTTCCGTCCGCCGTCTTGGATAGCGGTGTCCCGGTGATTCTGACCAGTACGAGCATTGCGAACGGTATCTATGGGGCTTTGGGGATCGGACCGGCAAGTGATGGGAGTTGTGAGTCCGTCTTCTACTCTTTCTTCTCCGTTGAGGCTCGGGTCGTGCGAGCGGACATGATGCTGACAGACTATGTCCGTTTGTGGTAGACTACGTCCCGTGCACGACGCCACTCAACATGACCATCACCCTCGACGGCCAAAGCGAAACCACCCTCCATCCACTCGACCTCACCGCCTTCCCCCAACAAGCCGGTTCAACATCCACCACCGGCTCCTGTATCGGCCTCATCCAAACCGCCAACGGAGAAATGGACGACGCCAGCAGCGGTCTGGACGATTTCGTACTCGGCGTTCCCTTTCTACGAAACACATACACCGTCATGGCGTACGAGGTACCGGATTCGAACGGCAATTTTAATGCGTCTGGATCAGGAACGGGGACGGAGATGTTGAACGACGATATCAACCCGAGGTTGGGATTGCTGGGGCTGACGGATCCGACCAAGGCGTTGGAGGAGTTCAATACGGTGAGGGTGTTGAACCAGCCGTTGTCGAACAGCAATAGCTCGTCGAGCGGGACTGGCGCGGATGCTACCGGAGGGGATAAAAAGTTAAGCGTAGGACTGGACGTCCTGATCGGGTTGATCGGGTTCTTCGCGTTTTGTTTGGCGCTCTTCGGGGGGAGGTGGTGGTTTATGAGGCGGAGATGGAGAAGGGCAGGAGGGAGGGAGAGGGGAGTGGATGAGTTTGCGGACGGGGATAGAAAGATGGATGTGCTTGGTGGTGCAGCGTATAGGCTCGCGAGGAGGACCTCGGAGACTAATGGGGAAGATGAGCGCGGACATCTGAGCGAAGATACGCTGCGGGCGATCAGATTCGAGGAGTATAAGCGACGGACGGGGGTTTCTAGCTCGTACACCACGGATAGCGGGAGGACGCATGTGGGATCTGGGATGGACATGGAGTTTGGAGAGTTTGGGTACGAGGCGGTCAAGGCGAGGGCAAGGAAGCGGGATGGGAGCAAGGATAGGGCGGCATCGCACAATGATCCCTGGGATCCCAGGTACACTTTCGAATGGAGGGATACCTTGGTCGACGAGCATGCGCCGGTGGACGTGTCGCAATCGAAGGGCTCCGATGGCGGTTCTGACCGGGGGCACGAGGGTTCGATGGTACAGCGCAGATCGTCAGGCTACGGCTTTGGTCACGAACGATCTGCGAGCGACGTTACTATGGCGCGGGATGGAGGTGCTGGCGTGGCTGAGCCTCTACTAGCGCGAACGCGGGATGCGTCAATCATACAGATCCATGGCGAAGACGGGAGCGTAATCGCCAACATGGATTCATCGGTCGGAATGGCGGGCATTGGAGCAGTATCGGCCAGGGTAAGTAGTATGCATGGACGGACAGCGAGTGGTGGGAGTGTGGGGAGTGTAGGTGTGTTAGGTGGGAGTAGCGGTGTACGTCCTGGGAGCTCGATGTCGGGGAGGTTTGGGGAGAGTGTGAGTCCGGGGATGTTATTGCCGCCAACGCCATCGAGTCCAAGATTCCCGAGAGTTGCCCCTTCGCCGCCACCGCTGGACGTTCTGTGATATCGTATGCTTGCTTCATTATTTTCGCCTCCATGTCTATTTGTTTTTTGTGTCTCGAGAACCAGACTTTCCTTTTGCATTCTCCAACTCCCAATACCAACCATCATCCTTGTACAGTCTGTTGTTAGTCCTCGATGTCTTGCTCATCGTATCCATTCCTTCGGAACCCACCATTCATTCAAATTCTTCTGTCACGCATCTAATACCTCGTCGCTATCTGTCCTCACCTCACGGGCAACTGATCCACCCACTCGTCCTTTCCTTCGTCATCGTTATCTGTCGCCCGCATTCGCATTAGTCCTACTACTCATTATGCCTTTGTATTTATGTATTCGTCTCTGATCGTACCCTACCTTCACGTTCGTCTATCGCTGGGTCGGATTTGAAGTGCTCATAGCCTTTTTTTTCCTGATCATCACCGGCAGGTTAGAGTACGTTAGCATCTTGGTTATCCAGTACCAGTACCGTACTGAATATTTTCCTATTGTACGTTTTGATGTATGACTTGCAATGGGATTACTTACGACTCGCCCTCAAGTTGTTTGTTTCCAGCGATGACTGTAGCACGCAATGCACCGACAACCGGGCGTCCAATGATGGCAACATCAGCGAAGGCAGTACCTCATGCTTTCTTACGACCATCAGCGACTGAATTTCTTGCGCACACATCCACGAGTCAATATGAGAAAGGGCGCTGCTATGGCGTCCGAGGCGACAGTCCTTATACCTTGTCGGACAAGAAACTGTTTAGTTCCAACCTTTTTCTTCCTGCCTTCTGTTTGATCGTTCTTTCCAGCATGCTCGCACCTTTTCTTATTGCTCTTCTTGTGTCTGCTCTCCACGTCAGTTTCGCTCATCACCCACCATCTCTCCTCGACGCTCGGACGCTCTCAAATACCGCCCAAACCTCCGGCTTCAGTACCTTCGATCTCCTCTCAATCCCAGGCCCACAGTCCCGCACTTTTACCGCGCTTCCCACCATTCCTTCCTTATGCGCGTCCTATACCAGTTCCTCTTCCGAATGCACAGCGACCATGCAAGCTTTCAACATCACGCTTGGCGATTGCGGCTCGAGCTGGACGATGTGCAGATGTACCGACGCAGATATTAGCTTGGAGGAGGCGGTGGATCATCTTGCACGGGTACCGGTGGGACTGAGACGGAATGTTGGGACAGTGTTCATCATGAAGGATAGTTCTGCCCATGCGTATACTGAGGCGGGTGACATCCACTTCTTTGGAGTGTGTTCACAGAGGACCTGGGTTCATGAGGTGCGTTGCGTTCGTTTTTTGATCTACGGGGTGATGAGCTGAGGTGAGCCCATTCGTACGACGTACAGTCAACGCACGCATCAGATCACGGGCATTCGTCGTCAGAGGAGTGGATCAACGCCGTGGATGGTGATTCGTGCGTGCCGGATAGCTATGCTCAGAGCAACTACGTTGAGGTAGGAGCGCTCACATCTTTGAGTTTTTCTTTTCCTTTCTCACGTCGAGCCCGTATGCGTGACAGGACTTCGCACAAGTCAGCGTGCTCCAAGTCTACCAGCAGTATTTCGGAGAGCTCCCCACTCCATATACCGCCGATTGCATGCAAAACCAGCTTGCTTACATGAAGAACCTCTCGCTCTACGCGAACGATACACTCTTCGGCGAGACGTGTGCCTTCCAAGATGATTGGTCCAGTCCCGTGTGCGTATCTCTTTCTCGTTTCTGGGCTACTTACTCGTTTCGCTGATCTTTGATTGTACTGACTTCCCTTGCAGTCATACCGTGGCCCCACAGACGACGGCCGCTGACGCAGTGATATCAGGCTCGTATACAACCGTAACTACCGAGCTGACTATCACAGCGTCGTCCGGGGCATTCGGTGAAGTCAACGCAGCGACAGTAACGGCTTCGAGCAGTCCTCAGTCGACCTCGGCATCTAGCACCGTGTCTTTGGATGCCGCGACGTCCACACAGTCCACTAGCGCAGCGCTCCGTCAAACATCTACGACCACCGCAACAAGATCCGTATTGCTATTTGGTACCCTACTTCACGGGCTTACGCTCTTTTCACTCTCGTTGTAAGAATGTGGGCGCGGTATCTGGGGAGTTTCCTCAAGCTGCGTGGACGAAAGACCGGGGACAAATAGGAATGACGATTTCACGCTATTTATTCCATCATTATACCGCTCGTTCCATTGCTATGCCTTGTGAACTCCAATGGCTTATCTATTTATTTTTTGTGCAGGCGAGTTGTGCTTCCCATGTCATGTGTCCAGCGGCGACTCGTCTTTTGTGCCAATCACGACTTAAGCGTAAAATTTTCCCAATCTTATACCCGCCCTCTTTCATGCCAACTTCAGCCATTTTCCCACAACATGTATTCTCCGTTCGCTTATCCTAATCACTTTCAAGCATCTTTCATGGCAGGTCAAGCCCGTCTCCATGCCTAACCCGCTATCCTCCAAATCGAAGCCATGACGATTCCAGACCAGAATAAGACGGAAGTGAAACGATCGTCTGGTTAGTTTGATCAACAGGTGGCCGCCGAGCATCACGGGTGTCTTTTACTCTCTATCGCAAGGGCTTGATAGTATTCCTCGGAGAGCTCAAGATCGAGTTCAATGTGCGATACATCACCTGAAGAGATGCACTGGCATCTTTGCTCGCACGACTTTCATCAAAATATGTCTGTCTCGTCACCATCATTGCCGGGCAATGCTTATGACTCCCACACCCCGAGCTCGGATCTCATACGATTCGCGGCCTCCGAAGGCGTTGTCCTCCGTCTGCGTAACGTCGACAGATCCGACTTCAGTCGCCTCATCGACTGCATGCGACGCGCTCTATCTTCCCCTTCCATCCGTCTAGAGTTCAGTAGTGCACCAGAAACCAGCCGTCCAGGGATGATGCAGTTCCCTGCTAGTGCGTACACTCGATGTGGTCTGGATGCTCAGCCAAGGGCTGGTCAAACTCGATGGCGCGCGGCTGCCAACGATGCCCTTCTCGTTTACCGTACTGAATTTGCATGAAACCTAGAGTCGAGCGCGCCGATACACGCACGAAAAAGTTTCTCCATAAATAACTTTCGGTCATTAGTTGGCTCACTCGTAAGCTTCCACACCCTGATACTACTCTCCCATCTCCGTCCTCCATGCCCAAAGCCTGTCCCCACCTCACCTCGTGGTTTCACCTTATGCCCAGGTGACTACCTGGAGCTATGTGCTTTCCCGATTGACGTTCAGCGACACACTTGTGTGCATGACGTTTCTCCCGGGGGTCGGAGTCTGACATTGCGAAAAAAAAAATAAAAAATAAAAACAGCGAGAAATCGGCGGAAAACGACGCCACGGTCGCCACACAATTGTTGAAACCTTGGAATAAGGTTAGGGCAGAAATTCGTATTGCCGCAATGGCGCATGTTCCTCTTTGCACCCGAACTTCTTCCCGTATTTGTTTTCTCTGTCCCTTGTGCTCAGCTTGGCCTTTAACCTCCCTCTTTATCTAGACATCGCATCCCTTCGCAGTATAAGAACATGGTGATCTATGACGGGCAGTCTGGCTATTAGATCCTGAAAGTCTTCCGTATGTCGCAGTCAGTGCCTTATTAGTTTGAAACTGTGAGCGCATTCACGATTCGCTACCGTCTCAGAATATGGTGTCAAAACCGTAGGAGACCTACCGTCCTTAGATCTCACCCCGCATCGCGGCTGCTCGTGGGCAGCTTCTCGGTGTAATCTCTTGTCAACTCTTCCGTCTCGCGATCTCTTATTGGATGTCTTCAGCAACGACGTCTTATCTGGTTGATAGCCCACACGGTGGGCGGTACGTTCTTGCCAACCAGCTACGAGGCGTTCCCATCTACGGCTAAACTCGGCTCGGCGACCAATCACGCTTTTTACAGGTCCATGGATGGAGATTGAACGGTAAAATCAGAACCGCGACAGTGTTCCGGTATTCTTGCACCATTTCCGATGACATCAGAGTCGTTTCCTCGTACTTGTGTTGGCTAGTACTTAACCTGACGGAGTTCACTCTGTCGAACCTCAGGATCTCTTAACCAACAATGAAGTCCTTCTCTGCTCTCGTAGCTGCTATTGGCCTTGTCGCTCAGGTTTCTGCTCACTGTATGTCATGTACTTTCATTCTATGACGATAATCGGCTCACGACAATACAATTTCTCTCCTGCGTTAGACGTTTGGCCTCAGCTCATCAGCGATGGCACCACCACCGCAGAGTGGGACTACGTTCGGTATTTTTTATTCGGCTCCAACAAACAATTTTCGTCATTTTATTCATATTTTATTGTTATTTCATTTAGCCAGTCGAACAATTGGCAGACTCTCAATCCTGTAAGTGTTCTCGTTTATTTAGGCTCTCCCCATCCCCATCTCACTTTGACCTTGTATAATTAAATTTGTATGTATGTTTTAGATGACCGACGTCACTTCTTCCGATGTCCGCTGCTACGACTCCGCCGAGTCCGACACGTCGTCGACTCTCAGCGTGGCTGCGGGTTCTACTATCGGCTTCACCGTCAGCGGTAACCCAGCGAATCTCTACCACCCAGGTGTATGTCATTTCACCTTTGGCTTTGCCACACGTCGCCTCCGGCTCTATACTGATATGTCTTTTGGCATATTATCTACTAGGTCGTGAACGTATATATGGCTCAAGCTCCCAGCGGCACGGATGTTGCGGACTTTGATGGTAGCGGCGATGTCTGGTTCAAGGTGAGGACTGCTTATGCTATAATCTGTATCTAGACAAGTGATGAACTCATGCCCCTGCGACTGTTGCATACTAGGTATACGAAATCTCTGCTGTTACTGACGGAGGCTCCACTATCACCTTCCCCGCTACTGGTATGCAAGATTGCGCTGCGAAACTACGTGCACTACTTATATTCACCTTGACTCTTGTTCGCTCGCTCCAGGCATGAGTTCCGTCAATTTCCCCGTCCCATCGGAGACTCCGACCGGCCAGTACGCACCATTGCTATCACACTTCGAGATATAAGTGTCATTGATCTTAAGCTTCGCGTATGATAATTTAGGTACATAGTCCGCATCGAACATATTGCTCTGCACGTTGCTTCGACCTACGGCGGCGCACAGGTACGTCTACATTTCATCTGTCAGAGATATAAGATAGCTGGACTCACAGTGCCCGTGATATATAGTTTTATATCGCCTGCGGCCAGGTCGAGGTCACTGACGGTAAGTACATTGCTTCGACTTTGATCATGGAAGGTGCTACCTGGTGAAGGTAGTAGTGACACGTGAAAAACCTTTGCTGAACCGATGATGTTTATGTGCTGTGTGAAGGCGGAAGCGGCACACCTGGCCCTCTTGTCGCATTCCCCGGGGCCTACACCGTACGTCCATAAATTACCCTCACTGTGTTCATGTCTGCTTATATTTCCCCTATTCTCGACTATACCCGGCTTGTGCAGGGATATGTGAGTGATCCTTCAGAAACGGCTGTCTGAGAACTGCACTTCTGACCGTCTGTGATTTGACTCGAATGCGCCCCCGCCGTTCACACTATCGGTACCGAAATGCATATAGGAGCCCGGAATTCTGTACGTAGTCTAGTGGCTGGTACGCTGACCGACACATTGCATTATGCTCACTCGGACTCGATCGCAGGATCAACATCAACTACCCAATCCCCGCGAACTATACCCAGGTTTGTCGTTCTCCTCTGCGTATGGTGATATACTGACTGCGTACTTGCATATATATCCTGCTGATCCTCTCCTTATCACAACAGCCCGGCCCGGCCGTGTGGCCCGCTGCTTAGAGGTTCAACGTTGAAAGTTATCGAGACAGGAGTGGTCGAGGCTGTTGGAAATCAGCTTGTGCAGCTCGACGTTGCGAGACTTTTCGCGAGGTTTCCACGGTCAGGCTGAGTCAGCCGCGCCACCCGGCTCCGCCACTTTCAGTACATTGTAGAATATTCTAGTTACTTTTGTACAGTACTATAAATACAGTGAATGTAGGACTCGTTGAGGGCATCGAGTTGCCCTAACACGAGCCAGTCTCACCACTCAGCGTGATTGCAACCTTTCCCTCTCTCCCTCGCTCTCACTCGTCCTCTTTTCGTGCCACTCATCACTTTCCCACGAAAATCTAACAGAGGCGATATTGGGTTGGGCTCGAAGTGAGTCGAATAGTTGAGCGGCGAGGATTTGACAATCGCTGTGCATTGGAATTCGCAGTCGAGAGGGTTCAAAACATTTACGAGGACGACTGAGCAGAAAATGTAAATACGAGGTGATGATCAAGAGTACGCCCATTTGTAAAAATTGGCAGGGAGGAATAGGTCAACACAGCAGGCCTTCGTTGATTTTTCAGTCCTCGCAGTCGAGTATCGCTACTATGTACACCCATACGACTACAGCGCTTCACCCCGCTCTTTATACCATCTTCTCCACAAGCAGGCTCTCGATGCGCTCTAGTCTACACTGAACTTCATCACGTATGGCCTGCATTCCCGTAATCATTTCTTCTCGTATGAGTTTCAGTCCCTCATCATACCCCTCCGTGATCCTCTCAAGCTTACTCTCGGTGCTTTCTTTGAAAGCAGCGAGTCGCTGCTCGATACTTGCAGACGTATCCTGTACAGACTCACTTTTTGTTGTCAATTTGACGAGAAGATGGGTTTGATGATGGATTTCTTCTAAGCCGCATTTGTTGCATAAGACTATTGGGTCTGTGTCGTCGACAATAATCAGCTCGTGATTGCTATACCGAACATGCTAATGGAAGTTTCCTTGCCTTGACAGTCAACACAATACCAGCAGGATGTCATGACATCCCGCTTGCATATCCCACATCGTGGCCGAGACGCTTGTGATTTCCTAGCTGGCAGTGCTCGTCGAAGCGCGTTCTCATCCCGACGCACTCCTCGCTTCTCTCCATCGAGAACCTTTCCAGCTCGTACAATCCCCGCCCTCGCACGCTCTAAAACACTCGCCTCCATACCCAAGTGCATAACATACGGAATTCGGAGTAACGAATGAACTGGCGTATGGGGCCTAGGCAAGTCGGTCCGTGTCGAGAGTGTTATCTGGGAGAGGCTGCAGCGGATGGTTGGACAAAAGTTCACGAGTCCGTGATCGGAGCGAGGGCAGTCCAAGCAGACAATCCTGACACCTGGAATACCATGTCGGTGACAGACGTCACAACTCACGCTAGGTGCCGTTATTAGTAGCTGGTCAAATTCTATTCTGGTAGGGAGCTCACGAGTGGCGAGGGTAGCGCTCCATGAGTTCTTTGTGCGCCATGTTAAAACGGGACCAGCAGGCCCTCGTATCCTCTGGTAGAAGAGTTCGAAAAAGACTCTCTCCAGCCGTCGTCTCATCACTGTAAACGGCACGCTTCACAAGGAGTTGGACCCCATTGCTACGTTTTGCCTCCCTCTCCTCCAGGTATCTCAACGGCTGCAGCGTCTCCCGAACTTGATCCGTGACAGCATTAAGGGCAAACTTCCAACTTGCAACGGTCCTATTGGCGTTAAACTCTGCCGTGGGTGGGCGGTGGCGCACTACATCTGGCCCTACGTGTCTGAACGAGAACGCAACTGAATCCACGGAAGTGTCGTGCGGCGTCGATCCAAGGGTACTGGCAGAAGCGGATCCCAAAGAGGTTATTGACCTTATAATGCCAGAGAAATCCCCGGAGCGCAAGTCAAGAATTCCACCATAATGTTGGGGATAGTAATGGTCCTCATCAGCGTATGTCTTGTCGAAGCGAATGTGGACCTTTCCAGCCATCAGGGAGTATGCCCCTACTACGGAGAACTGGTCGCCGTTATACGCTCTCCCGTCGCATTTGAAGCGGCTTGTCCCCACGGGTTGGAAAACGTAGTGTTCGATCTCGGTATGGCCCTTCAAGGAGATATATCCGGACCAATCACCCATACTAAGCGTATTTTATGAGCTACTAGAACAGATGTAACGGCAGCGAGAACGTACATCTCATCCTTCAATGCGTGTCCATTCGTAGGTTCAGACACCGCGAAGCTGAACGTCTTGATTTCTGACTCATCTGTAGTAGAACTTGAATCTTCATCAGACGATACGTGCTCGCTCCGGAGTCCAGTCATGAACACCTCGCGAAGATGCTCCGTCGAATGTCTTAATCGATGATAAGTATCTCAGTATATGGAGAAGACCCGTAAACTTATAGTCTGACCTTAGTCCGGAGCTACTGATCGGTGTCAGCCTGATGACAGGAGAGGCAAGGACACTTATATTGGGCACATCTTGACATTCACGTTCGTGCGTATCATCTAGTTCCACGAGGCGAGCTGTAGTGAAGACCCTCGCTCCTTCTAGTGCGTTCTGATACTGATGATAACATAGATTGTCAGTAATGGTACGACACTCTCAAATGAGAAACGAGAGGCTTACCAGGCCACAAGTAAAGAGCTTAAATTCCTGAGCACGATCTCGCCTGTGATGATCGAAGTTGGCTTCACATCACTTAATTAGCTTCATATCAAACTGAAAACTAGGGAGAAGCTTACATGCAACATCCCGCGCACGGAGCCAATGCTCTCCAGCGATGGAGCGGATAGCTACCGATGCATTTGACAGTGCTCTTTTGAGATCTGAGGGCCAAACGCTACAGTACGTGGCCAGCCTGACTATTTCGAGATGGCGTTGCAAAAGGATACACAGGAGTGGGAGTAATGACTGTTCCCCGAAGATTAATCAGATACAATCAAGCAACCGTGATTCAGGAAGTGCGCTGAAGTATTGAACATACCCGTTCCAGGGGACCATCAACCAAGAACCGAACAGCATCAGTGTCCTTGACGTTATACTCCAGTTGCTCTAAGCTGTCCTCCAAACGCGTTTCCTCGCTGGCGACATAATCTACGAAGTGTTCCTCAACCGATGTTTCCAAGCTCGAGCTCTCCGACAGGCTCATCACGATTGACATGGTCGAGCTCCAAGACGTATCCAGGTATCCATCGACGAAGTGACGATTATCCGGTAAGACGCGATGGAGAGTGGCCATCATCTGACCAAAGATGCGTCGGATCTGCTTGTAATACTTGATGAGGGATGCTTCCCATCCTATTATCTACTTCAGCTGACGTAGTTTAGATTTAGTATGGATAAACCTACCAACAGCCCAGTATGCGATCCACTTGAGAAGGCTAAAAAGGTTCTCTCAATGACGGTACGTCGGAGTGGGCGGGAACCATCACGTACCTCCAGTCTCTCGGCCTCGATTGTGTGAAGTGATTTAGCTCATGGACAGTGATGAACCCAGAGGCATCCGTATCGATAGCATCGAGGATATGCTTCAGCCTATCGACACGTATGTACTTGACCGTCCAGTAGTCGGCAGGATCGATGCTCGCACGAGGGATCTTGGCGGCACTCGACGCAGACAAGCCGCGAGACTCATCATGGAACGAACTTCCACGGCGGTGAAGGCCGGGTACCGATAGCACAGCCTCGAAGGTTGGAGACACAAGAGGGGAGGTAGTAATCGGGCCGCCGGGAGAAGTGATAAGGTCTCTGGCGGTATCGTGGTAGTAGTCTTTGAGAGCGAGAACGAAATGGCTACCCTTTACGCTAGCTCTCCACCCCTGATGTTCGTAGTTATAAGATAAGGATGCTCTCATGTCATTGTCTCACTCACCATGTACGTCCAAACATTGTACATGTCCTAGATCGACATCGAACGAAGTCATGAGAAAGAGTCAAAGAGCATCTGTCGATGAGACGAAATGACTGCATACTGGATTAGTTATATGGTCCGCGGGCCCTCCCCTCAACTTATCAATAACCCGGTCCCCGACCCGCTCAACAGTCTCCCCTACGTTTGTTTCAATCCTTGCCAACTGAATCCTCAATTTTCCCTCGAAAACCTGAAAGTTCGCATCGATCACTGTCTGGACATCCGTCTTCAGATCGTCGCGCAACTCCTTCAATCTCTGCTTCCTCCTCTCCGCATCTGGACGGGCCTCCTGCAGCAACCTGGTCCGATCAAGAGCCGATCCGACTGCGCCCGACTGAATATCGACGGAACCAGCCTTCTCCTCCAAAGCAAGTAGAGCCTCTAGGGCACTGTCGTTTTTCTGCAGTGCTCTGCGTCCACCTGGGTAGAGGTCAATGCGGTGGTTGATTTCGACTTCGCCATCGGCAGGAAGGCTCCGGAGAACTTGCATGAAATAGACGTCGAGTCTTCGGAATAACACACTCAGAATCAGAGGCCCTTGTGAAACCGTTGTAAACGAACCTATCCTCGAGTGTACGCAGACGACGAACGGTCTCATCGACCCCATGTGCCGAATGAGCGGTAAGCGCCATAGTCAGCGCCTCCCTTTGCTTCCTAAAATGCTGACTACATTTCGCCAGCTTTCCAATCCACGATTCAGCGTGCCAGGCCTTCGAAATGAGAGACTTGTTGTGATAGGCCTCGCAGACGTTATACGCGTGTGTGATATCGTCCCCGATGCTCTTCATGAGGTCTTGTATGTAGTCTCCCAGCCTCGGGTCCTCGCGGCGTGAGGCTATCTCTTGGTCGGAGATATCGCTGACTCTGAATGTAGATGAATGGAAGACAGGTACATCGATCAGTCTTTCGAGAAGTGTTGTTCAGGGTGAGAGAAAGAACGAGTACTTACTGTAGGATCATTCCCATCATGTCCCTCATATCCAAGAACAGGAGCATTATTCGCTTATTGTTCTCCCTCCTCTTCTTCTCCGTCGCGTAAACAGCTTTGAAAGGCGCGAGAGCCGCTGTAAAGTGAGGAAGCAAGTAAGCCTATGCATCTTGGGCCGGAATCAGGGTATCATATCGCCAACTTTACCTTTGACGAAATCATGCACCTGCGGCACCAAGGCAGTTAGCGCAGCTAAGATGCGGTGATGAATCAAGACGACGTACCTCTGAAATCTCATCTAAAAGACTGATGAGAGGCTGTATAGTGTTCGTAAACTGCTCCAGAAGCGTTGTCTCCGATAATGGACTGATAATGGATAGTGAAGAGAACGTCGAGAACCTTCCAGGTTCGGTCACGCCAACAGAATCGTTGCCTTAAATGCAGCATTTTCATTTCTTGGTTAGGTTCCGAAGAGCAAGAGCTATTGACCATATAAATGGCTCACCAGGTGCAGTTGACCTTGGAGCATTGTAGAGTCTATCCAGTGGTGTACTGACCTTCTCCCACCAATTCACGCGTTCTTTCCAGTTCTTCAGCTTGTCGAGAGAATCCATCTTCAAACCTGGCGGTTGAAGGACGAGGGAAGACTGCAGAGAAATTGAGATGTGAGGGTCTGAATCCGAGATTCAAAAGGCAGAACTGAGTAAGGTGCTTACCGAGCCCCGCAGCGCGACTCCATATATATGTGTTCATAGCAAACAGCGCCGAAACGTTCATAGAATCCCATCAAGGAGACAGCGGAACAGTGCGTAAAGCACCCTCTTCTTCGTAGAATCTAGCCTAAACCCAGCAGGATAATCGAGCAACGGGAAGAAAATAGGCAGCCAATAGCTCAATCAAACGTTAACATTTGTACACCATCTGTCTCAATCTCGAATGGCATACAAAGTATAGCTCTGGACATTGAGTCAGCTGGAGGACAGCGCCGACTGCGAAAAGACTTAATCGTGCCGGCGGAAACGGAGAGAAGCAGTCAAAGCTCAAAATACTTGGCTTCCATCCAAGTATTGACTCCCGAGCGTGGTCTGGAAAGGCACAGGCTATTCAAATGAAACTGTTCTGGGGGGCAAACCACATCAGATTCCTAAGGCAGCGAAAGCTCAGCGCGTAGAACCAGAGAGTCTCACAGAACCCAATCCAAAATTAAAAATTGGAAGAGAGAACCCGTACCTCCAACTTTCACAAGCTCTAGTCAAGACTTCCATGCATGCTGGTATGCGTTTATGCGGATCGTTTCCTGGAAGGCATGTGCACCATACACGGTTAACTCCCCAGACAGAGTACTGGCGATACTGGAGCACTGAAATTGAGAGGAGATGCCGTAGTTTGCGCCACGGACGCCAATAGGACTTTGGCCCCGGTACATTTACAGCCGATTACCTAGGCAAGCCCCACACTTATGCATGGGTAAAATCAGTAATGATTAACGTTCTGGATCGATTGTTCCGCAGAGATTCAAGACCACGTTATACGAGGAGACAGCGTAAGCGGAGAGGCAATGAATGCCGGGGTCACAATCGTCGTAGGATTCTGGTCCTTCGGGGAAGTGTTGGAAATGGTATAGCCTCCAATCGAAACGCAATGCGATTACGAAAGGAGAAACTTGGCCCTTCATGCTCATGAATCTGTGACAAGTCCAGGACGACCGACAATTGTCGCACAGTTAGCAAGAATGCACAAGCACGAAACGGATAAGCCATTAGTCATAAAATACAATGACTCCAAAGAAACGGTTTATGTGCGTTTGTACCCAAGATAGTCTCAAAACCCTGCAACCTTAGCCAGAGCGCGACTGGGAAACAGAGGAAATGTCACTGAGCATTGTGTTGAAAAGTTTGGTTGAAGTTCCAGTCAAGGGACCAAGCGATGACGTGGCCTCCCTCGCGTGAGGCTCGCGTGGCCACAGAGCGCTTGGTTTGAAATGCAGCCACTCCGAGCTCCGAGTCTTGTCTTTTGCTTCTCGTGCTTTGGAGACACCGTCCTCTTTCTTGCGTCCTCACTCTGTATGAATGTACTGCTGGTAAAGGAGCTCTGATGCAATCCACGTCGACCACTGTATATACTTGCATCTGGGCTTTATAATCGGACTCCGCTCGGACTCCCCAAGAAATTTTGTTGCAACCTCGACCTGGAGTGCATATTGTCGCTGTCAAGACTGTACCCAGCCTGATGGTTCAGTGAACTCACTTCTGTCTGTCTTCTCCCACAGACGATCATGACAATCGCCGCACTATCCACCGCTACCAGTGGATCGCTCGGCGCAGCTCCATGGACTGGTCGCGGAGGTCAGAGTGGGTCCTGCGAACCTCCGTCCGTTGCAGGCCACATGTTGCAGTGCGTACGACCTTCGACATGCTCAGCTATGACACCGGCCTCATTGGATCCCCCCGACGAACGCGTTTCATGAAGTGGATCGAAGGCATTTCGTGAAGTGGATATAATTTCTAACTGGGGTTCAGCTTTGATCTTATAAACAACCAGCGGTCTGTCCATCTCACTCATAGTTCATCTCACTCATAACCTCTCTTCCCCTCATCGTATTCAGGAGGAACCAAAACGAGGGATGAAACCAACAGTGTCTTTCTTCCCTACACTTCCAAGTCCTGTGCCGGCTGTTGGCCGGTATCGTCAACTCGCTCCACGTGCGGCCATCCATGTCTCCCCTCTTTGCCTTGGCGGGATGTCTATCGGTGATAAGTGGGCTGCTGTAGGGTTCGGCGCCATGGACAAGGAATCTTCGTTCAAACTTCTGGACGCGTACTTCGAGGCAGGCGGAAACTTCATCGATACAGCGAGCAACTAGTATGTCCCTGTCTTTCTACTAGTGCTCTGGGTCATCCTAAGTTACTTAATACACTTGTAGTCAAGATGGGTCCTCGGAGGCGTTTATCGGCGAATGGATGCAGGAGAGAGGAATACGCGATCAGATCGTCCTCGCCACCAAGGTAAGCAGTCCATCCCTCCCCTCTTCTCCCGTCCTTTTCTCTCTAATTATTTACTTCATTCATGGCTCCTATCTCCACCATACTCACGTTGGTCTCACAGTATACCAACTCGACAAAGCGTGCTGATCCTACCATCAAGACCCAAGCCAACTATGTCGGCAATAATCTGAAGAATCTCCGCATCAGCGTCGCCAACAGTCTCAAACTCCTTAACACGGACTATATCGATATTCTCTACGTCCACTACTGGGATCTTCACTCATCTGTGGAGGAAATCATGGACGGGCTCCACCAACTAGTTCTCGCAGGGAAAGTTCTCTATCTCGTACGTCACACATCCTGGACGCGTTGTTTCATTCCATACTTGTGTGCAACGACTGACCGGCCACAATCTCTCGACATATGTAGGGTATCTCGGATGCGCCGGCCTGGTTCGTGGTTAAGGCAAACGACTACGCCAAGTACACTGGAAAAACGCCCTTCGTAGTCTACCAGGCCGCTTATTCCGTCGTCGAACGTGACATCGAACGGGAGATACTTCCCATGTGTCGTCATGAAGGTACGGCGTCAATCCTTCCTTCCTCATTTCTCCCCTTGGTCTCCGTACGCACATCGCGCGCTTTTTACACCTGCTTACATTCTCGTTATCTTCTATTTGGTTTTCTATGGGTGCAGGTATCGCACTCACTCTCTGGAATGTGCTCGCCGGTGGTCACATCCGCACCGATGCTGACGAAGAGGCCCGTAGTATCTCCGGCGAGAAAGGACGGAGCTTGTTGGGAGATTGGCAGCGGAACGAATCGGAGAAGAAGATGTGCGCTGCTCTCGAGAAGGTCGCAGAGCAGGTAGGGGCGAAGCATATCACCGCTGGTGCGTCTCAGCCCCTCTCTGGACTCAATCATTGTCGTATCGTTGAACAAGACGCTGACTGACACTCGCGCCTAGTTGCTATTGCGTACACTATGCACAAAGCGCCCTTCGTCTTCCCGATCATCGGAGGCCGGAAGGTCGAGCACCTACAAGCTAATAGTGAAGCGTTGAGCATCAGCCTCAGTCCCGAACAGGTCAAGTTCATCGATGATGTGTTGCCTTTTGATGTTGGCTTCCCTGCAAAACTCATAGCACGTCTTTTTCATCGCTCCTATGTCCAAAGTTTATGGAAAATCGCGCTGACGAACTGGATTGATACAGGGGCAGTACGGGACGTATCCATGGTTGCTCACTGCGTTCGCACACTTTGATATTCAGCCTCTGCAGGCGTCTATTCCGCATGGGCAGCAGTAGGGTATAAATATCACGATGTGCTCGTATTTTGCCATTGTTTATAGCACTCTCTCCAGATTTCGATATACCGAAATGTCTATCTTCCGAAGGTGTGAATGTGCCACGACAGTATTCAATTCTCCCCTCGCGTGCTCCTCTTGCACACCCATCCCGACCTGAACGATTGCTAAGTATCGTCCCGGACATATTGGTTCGGACGAACAGACGAGGTCACGATCTGAAAATCGAGGCGCGGATGTACTGAGAGATTGTACTTCGAAAGACGTAGACGTAGAGCGCCGTTTTTAGGTTTTTATTACGGTAACAACGATTTATGGTCTCCACAGTTTGAGCATTGACGTATCGATTAGAACGAAACTTAACTGTCCAGCGGTTGTCAAGGGTTACTAAACAAATTTTCGTCGACCTCGTTGAATAGGGTGTACTAAATCTCGTCCGTGAGGAGTTTACAGACCCTCTCTTCTTCCGCGAAGCCGAGGAAACCGACCCACTCCGGGAACTAGCCAAACTCCAAGTAGCTGACTGATCTCATGGTGCAAGGTGGATTGTCACTTTTACGGAACGGGAGCTCTTTCACTACACGATCGTCACGAGACATGGCTGCTGCAACCATCGCAGTTAGTCGTCTTCTCTGCATGTGCGATCAGGGCGTTATCTTCGCGGACAACTTCTGAGTTTTATGTTAGCCTGAACGGGAATGACACTGCGTAACTGTACGGTGGAGGTCGCGTAAGTAGTCAGTGAAGAAAGGCTGCGAAGTAAGTGTACGCCACACGGTTTCTACCTTAGCGTAGTGTGGGGCCAGTGTTCAATCTGCACTCGACAGACAGGGAAAATGATTTGTATGCAGATTCTACTCAAGTTTCTACAATGTTATATGCTGTATTCATTGTCCCATGATCCCACTGGTTGATTAGAACCGCAACTTCCTGTTCGACCGTGTTCATGAAACTGGCACGCTCACGTCCAGTGACTGTATCAAATCTACGGCCCTCGCATCTCTAGGACGGACAGTGCATTGGAACGGCATCGGACGACTGAAAGAAGCCGAAATATACACATCAAAATGTGCCTCCGAAAGGAAAACTACATAGACACGACACGCACCTAATGCCACTGTCCACCCATTCTGTTGTCACCTCAATGTCCTTCCCTTTCTCGTCCTTCATCTTTACGATATCGAAGACAGCTAGAAGATATACAACAGATAACCACAAGGTGGCACTTGCTAGGTGTCGGCCGGGGCATATTCTACTCGTACAACCAGCGCCATGAGCGCAGCCCGTGGAAAGACAATAGACAGCAACGTATAACATACCTTCTACCAAATCCAAAAGATGCCAAAATTTCGTCATCGTTTAGTGTGCCACCGGGCGTCAGAAAGCGCTCTGGGTGGAAGCGCTCTGGATCAGGGTAGAGTTCCGGATCATGGAGAATTGCCCTGCATATACAGATGTTTATACATGAGATTACCGGCTGTATAATGGATAGCCAATACATACCAAGAATTCCCGACGACGGTAGAACCTATCCATGGCATTAAAAGTTAGTCCCTATAGCAAGGAGAAAATACACCATAATCTTACCCTTAGGAATGAAGTAACCTTCGAATATGTCGTCTTTTACGGCCGCATGACTCACAGCCATTGGGGTGACAAGTTTCCAGCGCATCACCTCCCTACATATCGCCGAAACGTAGGGCAATTCGTCCATATCCGTGAAGTTGGGGAGTCGGTCCCTGCCCACGATGAGATCTATTTCGGCCTGAGCGCGAGCTTGGACATGAGGGTGATGTATGAGAGCCACCATCGCTCCCGTGAGCGCTGCCATGGACTACGTATCATTAGTGTTGAATTGATTATATAGCCTAAACAAGGACTTACTGTGTCAGCCGCCGCTGTGAGCCAATTCGATTTATATCAGGAAATTGAACGTGGTATTTGTTGAGCCGAGGGAACGGTTAGACGAACCGACGTGAATGGTGGCAAAAGCCCTTTTGATGACAAACTCTCCAGGCTCTCCTTGATTGTTCTTATGGAGAGCATCTGCCAGGAGGGACGGTGGCGGCGTTCCAGCAGCCTGAATCACATGACATCGCAGGGGAAATAAGGAACGCGTTTGAACACACGCCACCACGGAGAACCAATAGGAAAAGAAATGACGCACTATTTGATTCTTCGTTTTTTCGAACAATTCGTTTTCAATCGAGTAGTTGAGGACTCTCGTTTTCCGAGTACACGCCTTGAATCCGGAGATCCCCGGAATCCATTCCGGAAGACGAGCCACTACAAGGTTAAAACAAGAGGTGAGACGAACATTGTTAGGGCTTAACGTCCACATGTATTCCGGTAAAACGGATGCTGCAGAATATATGGAACGGAAAGCGCTCACGGAATGGATATGACTCAACGAGGAAGTGCCCAGGGATCATAATTTGGGCCAGCACAGACATCGATTCCTCGACCTTTTGGATCAGAGGGTCTCCGTTTGCGTCGATATTGTAATCGTACGAAAGCTTCATCGGAAGGGATCCTGCATGACTAGTACGGACAAGAAGACGGATTTTAGACCATAAATAGTCATGACGAGTATTGAATCTGACGTGCGCACTGCTTTAGCTGATCGACCACATTCTCAGGATCTCTCAGGAGGTTTTGTAATAGTTGGTTGTTTCGACAGACGAGGAGTGGGTAAAACTTCTCCATGGCGTCAGAGCGGAAATATTGATGGACGATACGACGATGAGCACGCCAGGAAGGGCCGTATCTCATGAAGGCGAAGTTTAGATCCCAGCCCGTCCTAATGCTCATATTGATTATCTAGTAACAGGTAGTTTAGAACAAGGTTCACTTACAAGTATAGCATCTCGTGATGCTGCCTATCGGAGTAAATGGATGATCTCTGCTCAAAGATAACCTTTGCGACCTTTGCGGAGTTGATGATGATAGTGTGTGAGCCAGGGATATGGAATGATACAATTTCACCTGGACCGAGGCGAGGTCCCAGATCGTCAGCAAGTCCAAGGTTGATTAACGACAGAAAATATGGTTTACTGTTGTAACGTTTCGACCATTCAGCGAAAGCAAAAGGCGCACGCTTCTTTGGTACGTCGAACAAGTTACCGAATATAAAGGTGGGCGGAGGACCAGGTGGGTACGGCAGACCAGACGAGTTGTATTGACGGCGAAAGAATGTTCGTATAACAAGTAAGGACAAAAAAGCAAGAGTTACCAGTAGTAATTCGTGACTATGGCTCGCCATGATGATGAGAAAACACTACTTGTCGCCAAGGGGTGATACTTTCAGGCTCACATCCACGAAGGGCGCCAATATATACGATCCACCGAGCATGGCGAAATATTGTTGCGGAAAGGGACCACCGAAGAGAGGGGTTTGTGAGCGTCGACTTCCCTAGCTACGATACGTAAGCTCGGAGGATTGTTCCTTGGTACTCCACATAAATTCCCACAAGGGACCATTACTGTTCTCATAGTGGAGACAGCACCATTAATCGAAATGTAGACGTGGATGGAGCGATTACATACCTTGGTGCTAGGTCGGCTTTATTGACTGTGGACCATCGTGTTAGGTAGACGACACGTTTATGGCACCTCCTCATCCAAAGGCGTTCGAGACCCCGACGGCCTTCTGGGACAGTCCACATCACTTGACGAATTGTTATCGATCGTGAGTAATAGTGATTGGAAGGCGTAGCGTAAAACTCGTTGCGGAAAGAGTCCAGTTCGCTTCACCGCTTCACCGCAGGTAACGAACTGAATACGAAAGACTCAGGATCCAAACCAGTCCCACGAGGTAGCGAGGTTAAACGGAGAACGAGGTGACACAATAAGCCTCGCAGAACGGCTGCGGCATGACAGAGCATACGGAATCAGCAGGTCTAATGTCTGCCTGCGAGCGCACATAGGGGTATGCGAGAACGATTCGCGGCGGGGCCTGAGAATGAGAGAAACAAACATAGGTTGAGCGAAGTGGAATGCGGTAAGGGCGGAGCATTTACGACAAACCCGGAGGAGATGCCCAAAACAAAAATTGGTTATGGCAACAGGTGGTCGTGAAGTCCTGAAGCAGATATCTGAACAGGAAACAGTGGCGCAACATGCTCATGATATGTGGCTGGTGCCAACAAGATACGGATCATCGCAGGACTAAATTAGCTTCGAGAAATTGAGTAAGTACCTCGCAATGTCAATCGAGGACGGGCCATACCTATTGCCCGAGCAAGCCATGACGCCTTCAACAACATTCAACCTTGCGGTGGGCTAGACCATACTGGCCAAATCGCTTCACGGTATGTGAGAGTGCGATTTGGATGCACGAGGTTATTTTAAACAGATATCCGTGAACGACAATGTCAGTTATGTAGCTCGCTATGGCAGCAGCGGAATGGCTGAATTTCCGCTAGTAATTGAGATCAGCAAAAGTATGTGGAAGAGGGAACTGCATAGCGAACAAACCGTACACGTTTGAATGGATGACCGCAGCGTAATACCCAGAGATTCATAAGGAAATTGGCGGTGAAGAAGCGGGTTTCCTTCAGGTGTGGACGTGTGTATGTTCCCAGAAGAATATAGGCAGGGAAGGAGTAGGAAACCTGAGTTGGAAACGAAGCCCGTTCAAGGCTACAACCAAATATTTCGTGCGAGGCACAGAGAGCCAACATGTGAAGGCCTCATGAAAAGCGCAAGGGAAAGCGATGATCTTAGAAGAGAGTTCAATGGTGTGGCGGTGGATGACGATGGGTATGAAGCAATAGTCCAAATGGTTTCAGGAGCGCCAACACCACTGGCCTCAGATAGAGACGTTCCTCAGACACCTTAGAGGCGTATTTGAGCGAAAGGATCACTGGTAATTTGAACGAGCACCGTGGAGTCAAACACGAGGAAGCTTGACTTAGGCCACCACCACCGTCAGTCACCCTTCGCCCCTCCTTACCTTATTACTGCATATCCCTTCTGAAAAACGCCATAATCACGCCTCACAAACTGATTGCTAGCACCACACCCTTCCTATCCTCATTCAACAAGCTCTCAATTGATGCCCCGAACGGCATCGGGTACGCCGTAGTTAATATTGTCATTCAAGACATCGAGGGAGATACTTCCGAATAGAGAAGTAAGCGCACCTGGAACGGCGTGGGTGCACCTGCGAGGAGTGCATAATTTCCACAGACTACGTTGATGCGTCTTGCTAGGTGTAGGATCTTCAGTTGTTCAGTGTATTAGGAGGAGGTACTGTGGATGAGGCTGTGGTGTGAGTTCGGGTGCGCGCGAGTTAGCGAACCCCCACCCAAAAATGATGGAAAAATATGGGAGTTCATGAAGTGCGTTACGTACATGGATAACCGCAATGCCGTGCCATTGCTATTCAATTGATGGTATCCTGAAATCCCCGGCGTAGTCGGTGACACCATGGGTCGAAGCAATGGGAGAAGTTCGAGATCGAAGAGCACAGGCCTAAGGGTGAGATGACTTTATCACGCCAAAAAATCAGTGGACGGGCACGTTGCTTTAACTTGGAAACACGGGGTAGACATACCTGGTTTTGTAGAGAATAGAGATCTGATATTCATCCTCATCCAACGGTCTCGCCAGCCTGAATTCCAGAAGCTATCATTGTTCAGTGGGCCCGATACAACTACCATCAAGGTCGGAACGAAGACTCAAGGTCCCACATTATTGATCAACAAATGCACTATACCACTTCTCGCAAAGAGCCTCCCTATTTTCCAAACACCTTCCCTACCTCCTTCACCTACTAAACATTCCCAGAAACTATCAGGAGCGTCTTCAACCTCTCAACATCGAGAGTTCGAGGATCGCCTCGATTCGATTGCGGATGAAGCACGCATGAATGAATACTGTGGAACCCTTGAGCTGGTCTGTTACGTTGAAGTTGGAGCGCCGAGGATATGAAGACAAGAAAGGTCATAGGGTGGATAGTCCCTAGGCGATATTCCGTTCGACAAGCGTAGGCGAAGATGGGTCAACTACTCGCGTGCGACGCATAGGGCTGCGTCACCCTGTGATGCAAGTCAAGCCATGCGGAAGTTGTACAGCGGAGAGAAAAATCCACCATTACTTGAGAAGTAGGCTTCCCGAGTATATTTGAAGCCAACGATACGCAGAGAAGGAGAAGGAGAGCGGGAGCAACAACGAGGAAAGAAAAGACACAGCCAGGATGAGTGGGAAGATCGGCGCTAATCTTATCAGCCCGGCATCGCTCGCGTGGCTCAGTTCCGTCGACCGACCTCCGGTGTCATTCCGAATCGCCTCCGCCAGTTTGCTTGCAACGATGCACGCGATCGATGGTGCAACCCAAGAGAAATTCAGGGCTTATAGTATTTTGCTTTTCGTCAGATCAAGCGTGCCAAATTCTGATTCAGACCGTTACATACTAAGTCAGATAACATCCCGCGTCCTTCTTCCCGAGTTCGATCCGCTTTGCGACCAAAATTGATTGATCGCACTGTCCCGTAGCCAGAATAATGGACCACCATATATGTAGATCCATTTATTAAATTTAAATACCCCAGACAAATATCATGCAAAGCCACGGCGTGGAAGCGTCAGTCGAGATCGACTGTTCTAACATCTTTTCCCGCCCGCGCCCGCATATTCACCATGCCCCCCGCAAAACTACTCCGCCCATGCCCATACACGAAACCGGCTCTCGCCAATAGGGCCTGCTCCACCAGCGCACGGCTGTAGAAGACGGGTGTACATGTAATAAGAAAAATAAGGCATCACGAACCGGTCGTTCTCCCGAGGTGACTGAGCTGGAGCGGGAATCGAGCTCTCCGTATCGATGATCGGGATTTCGTACATCTGCAACAAATCTGAGCCACCTCGAATGAGGTCATTAAGTGTTTTCCGGCCAGAATCAAGGTGCTCCTTGACGCGCTGTACGTGATGCTCAATTGACGATGGCGCCCACCCAATACGGAGAACTATCGCGGACAGAAGAATATCAGATTGAATATATCAAGACATAGGATTAAGGACGTACAGTCGCCACGCCTCATGTGCGCACCCATCCAAACCCGTCCCTCGTTCACGTCTCTCATTCGTGCATCCAAGACCTCCGCGAGCGCATACACACTATCTGGAGGTCGGACATGATCGAGGACCATCGAGGTGTAGGCATCGCGAGCTCTGGAGGTCGTAAATAGAAGGGATCCCTGAAGGATGATGTTCGAAGCGTGGAATCAGTGTCCAAGTCAAGCGTATGAGGACGAAGACCCACCGGTTTTCGTTCGAGATGAATCTCGCCTTCAATAATCAAGACATCATCCGTAATGTGGCCATATTCATCCTTGAAACTTCGCAGCATAGAGCGAGGGGCAACTGTTCGCATAGGCTCAACGACGGCCTTTGCAAACTCGTGGTTGTTGCTTGAACGTACAAAACACGGATGATTGGTTTCTGACAAGGAAAGGTTGAGAGCAAGTTAAGAGGAGAAGGAACTCACAGTCCTCGATATGTGTGTACCACTTCCCACCCATTATTCATAACAAATCTCTCCAATGTCCGATCCGAAAGGTTGCCATCTTCGACTAACACAATGGACGGCTCACAACCCAGCACCGCTCGTCTCGCTTCATTCCACTCCAGCCATCCTCGGCCACGATCCCTGGCAGCGGAATCCAAGCATTTCGCCACCACATCCACAGAATCGTCCCGAGTCTCCTTCCATCGCCCAATAGGTCCCGTAACATCGTCCCCGACACCGAGTGTCCAGATTCCCCGTTCTCGGATTGCGTGAGGAAGAACGTCCACGCGAAGAGTCCCGGAAGGATCGTACCACTTGTTCTTAATAACGAAGAGGGTAGGCTTCTTACCAGTCATGATGTTCGTTCTAGAGTGGTACAGCTCGCGATGCCAGACTCCATTTGACTGTTCGATTTCGGGAGTAAGTCCGTGTAGCCGTAGATAGTCGGAGAGAAGAATGACAGGTTGTGTTTGTCTGAGTAGAGTGATATTGAGCATAGTGGATATGGGGATGCGGAACGCCATCTGTTGGACAGGCGGAAGATTGCGCCACTCGCTCGAGCCGATAGCGTCGTTCCGATTGACCATGTCGAAATAATCTCCGCAAATAGACCTAGAGAAACCGCTGTAATTGGAACAACCGATGCAATAGGAAACTGGAATGCGTACATCTCATGCTCGCAGGATCGAGCATAGATGAAGGATGGGACCACCAACGTCCTGTTCAAAATTTTCGCCTGGAGCGCCGCTGATTCGATGATGTATCGCATCTTCCGAAGCGCGTTTCATCAAATAGCGAGTGAATAACTGCTGCAACTGTAGTTCCCGAGAAATACGACAGACGTACATTATTCCAACCCAATCCAAGGCTGTAGTCCCTCGCAAATAGACCTGCAGTTGATTCAATCATCCGCATGACCTCGTCCAGACTTAAGCCTCCATCCTCTCTACTGTGGAACCCGACCAGTGATGGCGACGGGCGGCGAAATATCTCATCATGCAATGAGCAGGCGATGCGGTCGTCAATGGCATCGTAAGGAAGAAAATTAAAGAAAGCGAATGTGGCGAGTACTGAGCACACAGCCAGAAAAGCACCCAGACCTCTAAGACGCGTCGGTAGGAAGGTGAAGGGAGAGGCAAGTGGACGCCAGTAGTAGGTCAATGTCGAGCATAGTCCGCTGATGGTTGGAGACATGGTGTAGAGGTGTGTGAGGGTGAAAGGCGACAAGTGATAAATAGAAAACGTCTGTGGCGAGGCATGATTGCGGCGATGATTGAGCGCACTGGGAAAGGCATTCAGAATCCCGAACGCACGTAGGCACGCAGAGTCTCCGTGAGTGTCACCGCATCTATGTACTCGCCCATTATTCCGTTCCTTGAACGCCAATGTGACAGTTCATATCAAGATCAGAGCAATGGGTCGCCAAATCAGGACGAAAAAGTTGATCAAGGATGTACGGGACAACCATCTCAATCTCTCGAGCATCGCCATCCGTTTTTGAATAAACGGTGTACCAGGAACTACATTCCAGTCTGTAGCACTTGCAACGAATTCGAATATTGAATATAAGCCAAATACTGTCCGAAAATGCAGCTGAATCGGCTTTTCATGAGGTAGGGCCCATCACCCCTACAGAGTGGTTTCGGTCCTCACTCAAATAAATGCTCGCCTGAAGATAGAGGGCGGCAACCACACGCCGCAGACTTCTCAAAGCGAGAGGAGGGAAGGGATGGAATCAGTTCACGAATATCATTTTGAATTCGCGGAGACGCTTAGTGGTTACGACGCTGTGCAAGTCAAGCATTGCAGTTACCGTTCTGAGTGGTGATGCCATTGTCGAGTCGGTCACCGAGGTGACTCTACTTAGGGAGTCAGCTTCGAAACCCACAACTCTGTTCGGTCATTTGTCCCAAGTGTGCACGCGATTCGCTTCGATGGTGGATGGACTCGCATCTCCCTATAACCGTCGGATCATGCGATGGTCCATGCTATGATGTCAGATGTGTACTCCCGCTCCTACTGTCATTGTGGGAATGACCGATTCCCAAAGGGATGGAACTTACATCGCAATCTAATTTGATACAGCGGGCAACTATCAAGTTTTCTCGAATCAGGACCAATTTTCACAGATGAACAAGATGAGAGCCTGCGCAGTAGATGGCTCCTCTGCGGGAAGCAAGACGTACCAGTTTTATAAATATGCCTACAGGCAAATACTCGATGTTGGGACACAGGGAGAGCGGGGGCGCTCGCAAGTTGACTCGGAATAAGTACGCCCCATCTGCCCAGGCGCAACGCCACACGCCGCCGACCCTGGCTTGATCTTGAATATTCATCGCCTCAGAGGCTAAGCAATCTATCTTCTCAAACGAAGATGAAGACCTAGCCTTGGAAACAAGCAAGTGTGTCGCTCAGTTTTGCGACTGTGATCGGGGTCCTGAGTCAACAGGGGTTGAAGCTACAGTGGAACCGGAACTGGAAGGTGTACAGGAGGATGTGGAGGCAGCGCGTTAGCCGTCATTTGTTCGTGTACGAAACATGCTTTCCTCACCCCTCGGTATACACAAACCGTCGAACAACGAATCTGGTATAATTTCAGACGTGCAACTCAACGTCGATGTGAAGGCGTCTACGCGGACCAGTGCAATCGTAAATGCAAATCCGGAATCGATATATACAGAAGAAACATACCGGTCACGCCACCCCATCCAGGCAGCCCTCCTACCCTACAAGGTACTATTCCCTACGAAACCGCCAGCACCTACGCCTTTGGCCCCAGCACCTGGAGACCTACTCTCCACATCAAAACGCTTCAGTAGCACCTCTAAACTCGGTTGATGAAAGGGTGCTGCCGCCTTGGAGATTAGAGCCCCGTGACGACCGTAGGTATGGGTATGAGAGCAAAGTAGATGTATTGAAGGGGTACGCTGAACGTAGGCGTCTTGAACACAGACGGAGTGACAAGCTCTCTGTATCGCAAGGACGCCCCCGATGTCTCGCCGCCTGTGGACCTCCTGCATGAAGAGATCTGTGATCAAGAGCCCGATTAAGAACGAATGCAATAATTTTAAATTATCAATCAGGTAGACAAGGCGGTAAGAACGCGTGCTAGTGGTGGGGGAGGTTGGAGGCGCTTACACTCACAAGCCCGAGTGGAGCTGAAGTCAATCGTTTCTCGAAGTCCTCTGTTCAAAGAGTCGAGCGAGTCGAACTTAATGCCTTGAGGGACGGGAGCGTAGGTGGTGAAGGTGCACGATCTTCGATAAGTGTATTGGCCAAGTCAGCCCCAAAAGAACGCGACGACGGCCACAACAGGAGCGAATAACACAGATATTTACTCACTTTGAAGATACAGGTGCCAGGATGGGTAGCCATTGTACACTTCAGCAGGGGGCGAAGTTCGAGATTGAATAGCATAGAGGCGATGTGAGTTCAAAACGTCAAACAATTAGTGGACGGGAGCACTGCTTGAACCTTGGAAACGTGGGGAAGACGCACTTTGTCTTGGACGAAACAGAGATCTTATGCTCGTCATTATCCAACGGTCTCGCCAGCCTGAGTCCCAGATGTAGCCATAGTTCAGTGGGACCGTTCACACCACCACCAAGTGGCGAACGAAGACTCACCGTCCCGCATCATGTATCAATAAATCCAATCACTCCCCAATTTCCTCAAACGCCTTTCCTACGTTCTCCGCCTGCATCGAGTCACCAAAAACTATGGACAGTGTCTTTAACCTCTCAGTATTCAATATTGAGGTCCAGAGAGGGGCTTCGAGCATCGCCTCGATGACGGATGGAGCATGTGGCATGGATAATGAATACCTCGAAAGCGAATTGATGTGTTATGTTGAAGCCGACGGAGGTTAGAGCGCGAGAGAGGAGTACGAGAGAGGTTAGGAATCAGGCTCTGTCCTCAACGAAAGATTATACACGCAGGCAAACTTTGTTTCACGGCGGGGGAACCACTATTTAGAGCACGCTAAAGGCATTTCTATTGCGAAATCTATATTTTATACATAGAGGGAAAAATGCAGTCATCCAAATACCATATTTAGCGTAGTTTGATGTGTAATCTATAGTTTTGCTTTGGATTTTGCTTCAGAGCTTCCCATGTCGGAGGCTGATGAAAGAATATGGACCCGAACGAATGATAATACTTGGACTAGACTTTACAGTCCTCCAAAGGAAGATCTATATATTTTACTTTGATGACAATATTGCGGCGGTGAAAGCCAGCCTTTGGAGTGCTCAACTTGGTGCGCCAGAGATAAACAATTGAGCTCGATATGGAGCTCGCTATAGTTAAACTTTAGAGGTTCGTTGATTAGCCAGCCAATCAGAGCGTGCCACGTGGCTGATTTACTCTAAAGTTGAACTATAGCGAGCTCCATATCGAGCTCGATTGTTTATCTTTGGTGCACCAAATCGAGCACTCCAAAGGCTGGCATTCACTGCCGCAATATTGTGATCAAAATAAAATATATAGCTCTTCCTTTGGAGGGCTGTAAAGTCTAGTCCAAATATCATTATTCGTTCGGGTCCATCATCAGCAAGACCGCATTTGGCTAAACCTAACTATTTCGGTCTACTCGGTCTACCGGTAGACACAAATAGATCGTTTGACAGTATCTATTCTCGTCTATTCTTTTTAGACCTGCCTTCTGGGAGGCACGAGATAGAGCATGATAGAGCACAATAGATCACTTCATTTTTCTTGTAGAGCACCAGATAGAGCACAATATCCTTCAAACTTATTGACCAGTTTTGCTGGTAAAAGCTATATATTGCTGATATAGAACAAGCTATGTACATACATGAGACGAGACTAGCACATCACAAAG